CCAGTGACTGTGGGCACTCGTGCACATTTGTGCTGTAAAACCATAGGAGGATTAAGACGTCCTATGAGTGTGACCAACTGCGACAATGAAATTGACCAAACACAGACACAGGTGATGTTAAGGACGGGCACTAATACAATTCCATTGTAAGTCAAGTCTCCAGTTTTGTCCATTTAAACCCCTTGTTCCTCACCTTGATGATAGATTCGGTGCAGACGGTGACCACCTGGTTCAGTTCTTGATTGAAGAGCACCTGGGCCACTGGTCGGTCATGGGTGTGGGGCACTTGCATGGTGTCCTGCACCGTCCTGGTCAGCGGCCACAGATCAAGCACACTGGAGCCTAAGTCCAAATAAGTTAAATTTTAGATGAAAGGTGTGGTCGGCTAGCACAAATTCTTTCAGAACAGTCTCCCACTGGACGTGCATGACAAGATTGCCAGCGTTGGCAGTATTTCTGCCTGGTGGAACCAACTTCTGACAAGACATGCAACATAAACCCACGAGACATAAATATATAGAATCTTGTAACACTTTTTCTTACACGACGCACAAGGGAAGCGTGGCAAACTGGTCCAGGTAGTGGATACCACCACAGCAATACAGACAGCACATTTTACTATCAACAATGAGACTCATTTTCCCTAGTGTCAGGCAAGCATAGGTCTACTGGTTTGTATTTGAAATTGGGCGGTGTTGCAATCGCATTTCTTTGTTGCATGTATGTACGTCATACGTGGATATCCTATATATCTTTGTTATATTTTTATCTATGTGTTTAATCAATAGTTTTTGCTTAATTTTTTAACCTTTTAATATTATAAATTCATATACAGTTTGGCCTTCTGCCAATTGAGAATAATAAAACAATCTAATCTAACATTATCAGACATCATCACAAGTCACAACAAATCAGTCACGACCCATTCATTCAGTGTTGTCATAAGCTCATCAAATGACCTTTTAACCCCTCCAAATTGAATTTACTTAAGACCAAATAAGAGACCCGGTGACTCGTAATTTGAATGGTGACTGAACCCTGTAAACGAGGGGACGTACATGTAGAAAATGTCGGAAATTTGCCAAAAAAATTAGACTAAAGGTATTATCTTGGGGTACAAATGGTAGTGGATAATCACCTGTAATAAGTCTTTCATGTCTCTCATCATACACCATACAATGAATTCTCTTTTCCCCGGGTCTCTCTTCATTATCAGTGAAGACCTGTAAGCTGGTCAATGTGTGGATGTCCCACACACGGAATACCTTCAAGCCACAAATAAATAAAAAAAAGGGATGTCAGGTTGATGAAATGGTTCTTTCCTGGCCTTTCACCTCTGTGGCCCGAGTTCAATTCCCAGCTCGTCTAGATGTAAATTGGGTTTCCAGTCCCTACCTGATTCTGTATGTTTTACCCGCAATATTCTTCTGGTGTTTCCCTCCCACCTCTAGAACTGTACATGTTTTTCAATGTCTCCTTTTTACAGGTTTCTTCGGGCTGAAGAGATAAAGTGCCAGGGGCACTTTCGAGGAATCCTTGGTCTCATTACCAGCAGTGCTCAATAATAATAATAACAATCAAACAATCTTCACATTTCAATGCATGCTGTCAGTTCAAGAATGCCGTGGAATTGAATGCCAACTTCGAATCAGTGTCTTGACTCAACTTGTTTGAAAAGTCCAATGTCAGTAGAAGTAAACTCTAGTTTGTCATCTTTTCTGGCACGATCCACAGATGTGAACATGTTCCACATACAGCAAATTTTCTGTACAGCATTGTTTCCACAAATTCAGTCTCTCTGGTGTGGATGTCAACTGACCCGAGCTGTGGATAAGCTGATCACATGTTGATCTTTCTCGTTGACAGCTATATCAATAATTGTGAACAAGTGTCCAATCATTTTCCCAGTAGGACGGGAGAAAATGTGCGGGTGCCAGATGCGGATGATCTTGTCATTGCCACCCGTTGCTATGACGTTGGCATGGGAACAGAAGGCAAAACAGTTGACCCCCTTGGGAATGCTGAGTGACTTGCAAGGTCTAAGAAAGGACAAGCAGGGAAGATTTCCGTAAACTACATCGGATTTCAATTTTTTGGCATAAAAAATTTGTTCTTGTGTCCTTCAGCCGAATACTTTGAAACAAAGATGCCCCTTTGTCAACAGGGAAAAATAAATCAGTTCACATTACCTTTTTTGGACCAGGTAAAAACATTAGAACAGCAGCATTCTGGGCAGATATTAGATACATGAAACTTTCTATAAAAACTTAAAATTGCTATTTTTAATATAGGTGTTAAAATACATTTATTCGAAACAATGTATTATAATTCCCTCTTCGTTTTGAAACTTAGAACATCTCCTTTCAGGCTGACCCAACATGTGTACATAAAGTACACAGTCAAATGTGGAAATTCTTTTGATCCCATGCAAACTCACATGGTATCTGTTAATCTGTCCACAGATTCTAAGACAAAGGATGTGGTGCTGCTGGGTGAGCATGAGGCAAAACATCGAAGGTCTGCAAGATACTTGACCTGGTGGGAGGAAAAGAAAGTAATCCACTCCTACTGATTGGGCCCTTCTGCATGGGTTGTAGAGCTTATTGAACTGTAATAAAAGTGTTGCAAATTGTAGCAGAGGAGCAGACATTCATGAACATAGTCAAAGAACTTAAGATGGGTAAGAAAGACTGAGAGGAGCAGGTATCAACCACATCAGAATCTTGATCAGGTGAGGTGAATTACTGGAGGATGCGTGTTACGAACTATTACATTAAGGGATTAGATAATGCATCAGGCTGGTCTTTGTTGTTTGTTGAAGACTGGATCAGGAGAACGGATACTGATAATACCTGAGCCAAAAACGAGGGAAAATATGTCCACTCTACGGAGACAGTCTTTCATGAATCAAACAAGTTTTAATACTTATAAATTTCCAATAAGTTTATACATCACTCTCTTTTTGTCAACACCCCTCTAGCCATGTTATGATATGTTCCCCTCATGAGCAGTCATTAACAATCTCCTTAAATGGACATTGGCTCATGAATAGTAATTACATAGAAGTTCATAAAAATCAAAAGTGAAATTCTTACTTTCAAAACCCAATCATCGTGAAGTTTCCTCTTCTGAATTGGACTGCATGCAAAAAAAGTGTTATTCAAAGTTAGGGTTGTTGTGGCTAAAAATCCGTTACTGAAACAAACCAATTAACCAGATCTTGTCACTATCTGTAAAATGGAACCAGGAGACACAAGCAGATTCCATAGGAAAATTTGTATTGATGGAACGCCATTTATAAGGACAAAATTCTGGTAAAGAAATTGTGACTCTAAACAATATACACACTACATGTAGGACTGACAGACAAAGCTAATAGATCATGTCATTGAGCAAATTCACCAGTTTTAAATCATCTTAAAATGTCAAATTAATTTAAAATGTTTGTTTTTTAGCACTAGCAATTTGTATTATTAATCCACTGACACGGAACCTGTCAAACCTAGTTTTTCTGAAGTGATTTTTAAAAAATCAGGAGAGCACATGTGCAACTCTTCAAACCCTCTCAAAAGTGCAACTCCAATCATTCTTATTCACACAAATATGTTATGACATCCTGGAACAGACAGATGTTGTTGTCTCACTGAACTACGCTTTAATAAGACGTATACAGATGCAAGACTGCGAGTGACAGTTCCAACCTTGGTTTCACTTCTATGTGTACCACTTGTGCTGACACACATAAGTGGCTCTGGGTTAAAGGTTGCCTCACAATGCTATCAATCATACGGGAGCTACCAATCTACACACTGAAATATGTAGGCCATGTTCGACAACTGGGCCAATGCACACAAATCTGTAGTCAACAGAAAGATTCATGACGCAAAAAAATGCCTGGAACTAATTTAATGTGCAGAGTTTATCAGCCAATTAAATACTAAAGTAACATGTGCAGTGTGTTTGCGTGACTTACTAGGTAAGGGTGGTAGGCTCGATTACCAAGTTGCCGTTGCGCTTGTCAATTTTAGCATGCTTGGTGTTCAGGTCTTTGGCTGCAATGCGCAGCAGGTTGACGTATCCGAGGTCATCCCCAAACAGGATACAGTCCTCATGGATTGTGGTGTTATAAGGCACGTACGTCATGCACTGTACAGAGTTGTCCATTGGCTTGATGCAAAATATGCTCTAAAAATAGATACATGTAATTCAAGTCCTTTTCAATACTCTGACCACGCAGTCTCAGCTAAAGAAAGTGCAGTCTTAGTAAGGTCATCTCAAGAAAAATAAATCACCAGGAAGCTAAAACGATCTTACCACTGCTGTTATTGTTATTTTATTGTTATTTATTTCTGACAATGTCAAGGGGTGTGGTAGAGACTGTACAGTCCATCTTAACCCACTTTCCCGGATAAAATAAACAGACCGAATAAATGTTAAAAATATATTTTTAAAAATATACAAAAAAGGATTACTATATTAGAGACAAATCAGAAAGGAACTCAAATTAATGAAGGAAAGAAATGAAACAAGAGTTATAATAAAAATGTGTTAAATTCAGAAGTTAAAATGAAAAACAAAATCAGTAAAACCTACAGTTAGTAAAAACGGGGAAAAGTATTTAAGATATGTCATATTCAAGGATGAACTGTAAAAAAAATGAGAAGTTTGCCTCAGAAAAAGGAAAAATATCAAACAACGATAAGATTTTAAGGTAGAAAGCAAGGTAAAAACAAATAAAAATCAATTAACGAATCAAAAATTCAAGGAGAGAGCTTTTGAACATATTCAAGTACGTACAATGGATCACATGTTCAAGTAGACTATTCCACTCATTAATTCAAGCCCAATTTTCAGAAAAACCACAACAGAATGATCTATTTAACCCTGTCTATTGCACACATGGGCAACATCCTATCAAGACATATGCTCCAGCTGAATGCATCAAACATTAGTGTCTAGATGTCAGACTTTTGTCACTGAGATGTCTGGTTGTGCTGCGTGTGGTCAAAGCCACACAGGAGAAAAGCTAAAAGAGTTATCCTACTGGAGATCGATAAGGTGTTACAAGTTGTGAAGTTTCTTGAGACTTTTGCAGCATGGTGTTCATTTTCCCCCAGAGAGTGCAAAGATTTGTTTGCAGAGTTCCCACAGAATTACAGAATTCCCCTGCAAGCTTGACCCTGTTTGTTTCACACAGATCTTGATCTCAATCAGTGATCCCCAAGCTCATTTGCGCTATCCATTGGGCGGGTTCTGGCATCAGTGAATTAATGCCAGATCACTGATCCGTGTCTGCATGAAACATACAGCCCCTATGTTTCACCACACTGAAGAGACTGACACTTTGTAAAACACAGACCAAAGGACCCACATACCTGTAATTGCAATGTCTGATATGAGTAATATGAGAGTGCTACTGCTATGCGGTACAATCGGTTTGTAACCTATTCTACACAACACCTTTTCTTCCAGCAGGATAATGTTACTAACCTGGTTCTTTCCTTTGGCCCGATGATCCCATATGCATATGCTACGTTCAGTGGCAGCCGACACTCTTCTCAGGCTGGGCAAATAGTCAATACCAGTCACCCATGATGTTTCCTACACAGAGAAAAATAAAAAGGCAACTGAAAAGAGACAGCGAACATAGTTTAAAAAAATGGAAAATGTAACCAAAAAATGATAGAATAGTAGGCCTATACTTTAGAAAGAATAACACTATCTAAAAGAGCCAAAAAAGTTTTGGTATAAACACAACTTCACTCTGTGAGAAACACACCAGCTCAGGTTTATGGAATAAAGGAAAATGTGACATTTGACCATTGTTTGGCTTACAATTGTATTAAAACAATAAAGATACTCACATTCAGATCGCAGCATGCTTGAAGCCTCAAACTCTGGGTGAACAGAATAAAATCAAAGATAACAAAAACACCCACTATTACTGTACACACAAAGGCAGAATGCCATACTAAAAGGAAGTTTGATTTGGATTTAAATTTGCAGACTTCCTTCTTGTGTTCTTGAGTAAAAGACTTGTTCAGATGTACTGTTCCAATTATAACATGACAGGTTTTCAGAAGTCTCAAAAATATACAACTGTTTTCTCCAAAGCAGTTTCTTGAAACATTTTTGTTCATGGCCTATTTAAGGACTTTGGAATTCTCTTTTCTTCCCTTTCCAGCCCAGAGTTTGTTTTGGCAGACATTCCAAAATAAGTTCCATTATTTCTTGCTAGTGAATTCCTTTGAGAATTCTATATGGGCAAGAATTATGTGCAATGACAAAAATCCTGAAAAAAATAACCAATTTTGGGTTACGGCTGCCAAAACGCAGCTTAAATACAACCTCACTTCTAAGTGAATGTTTGGGCCACGTCCAAATTAGTGAAAGTTGGATGTGGCTTAAAATTTTGTATGAGAAGTGGTTGCATCCACAGCCATAAACCTTTACAAAATTTCAAGCCAAATTCAGACACAGCCTTACTTTGCTATTCCAGACAGATATGGCCCCTTTCTGTGAGGCAGAGGTGTAGATATCCACATTGGGATTGTAGGTAACAGCGCTGATCACATCACGACGTTTCTTATCCCCTGCAAAGACAAAAATCAACATTAAGTGGCGCCAGTCTAATCCGTTCAGGTTGTTTCCAATCAAATTCTGGCACAGCATGGTAGAATGTTTATTGCATCCAAAAAGAAAAAAAGAATGGTTCGTTGAAGAATTAGGTCCGAGTCCATAATAATTAGTCAAGATCTGGTCATAAAGTACATTTAACAGGAGAAACACTAAGAACAGTATACCCCCCCCAAAAAGCAGTGGCAAATTATGTAGCATGTGGTCAGGCAGCATGTGAAAATGAAATAAATAAAAAATGTGCACATATTTAATTTTTACGCTGGTCTCAGTTTACGCCGCCATTGATATCTGACTGTCTAGTACCTGTTGAATATTTTCAACATTCAACTCATGGGATTGGGTTGCATTTTTTTAAATGTGGTGAGGATCTGACGGTTCTTTTAAAATAGCCCTAGTCAAATTCAAATTTGTTTCTCCCTCGGTAAACTCAACTCAAGCTGTCCAAGCATGTCAATAGACTGCGAGATACATCACAAATTAAATGCTTGTGACTGGCTCAGTGCTGACAGGTCCTTATGGCAGTCATGCAAGTTTGAAAATATTCTTAGGCCCTTATTTTGAGCATGGAAGAAACATTTTATTGAAACAACTTTTTGTTCCAAACTAAATTTATTTTCTTTAGAATACTAGTTTCTTTGGGTAAAAATGTAACCCATTTCATGTTTAAAGCACTTTCTTCAATGACATTTTAGTGCAATTTCTTCACTGAAGACCTTTCAGACCACAGCATTATATATAAATTTAGAGTCCTTAGTAGAGTTGGTAACTTCTACCTGTTAACTTTGTGTCAAGTTAAAGCACAGGAAGAAAGATCAATTTGGGTCATGTTGGGAGAGAGTTGGGCATGGCCACTTGTGAGAGTTACCTGCCGCCTCGCCAATGCGGTGCTTCTTGGAGACTGTGAAGACGCTGATGTCTTCACTTAGAACCTGGTCTGGTTCCTCATCTTCTGATTGGAAATAGCCAAAGAGCTGCAATGAAAAAATAACACTTAGACATTAAACAGACACTTGACAGTCTAACACGGATATCCTTGCACAAAGGTGAAATAGAAATTTAAGTTTGCACAAGGCTTATTTTAATACAAGGAAAATCTTTAACAGCAAATTTAAACAGTAGAAAAAAAATTCAACAGGTTACTGTTCGGAACAATCTGACCAACTGTAAAAAACAATATCTGCACTATTTAAAACAGACAGTTTGTCATTTTTCTTTATCAATGGAAAAATCTGAGAAGAGACCAAATGCCTAATATAAACATGTTGAAATGAGTACATTCAAGTAACTTTGTAAATTCACGCACTGCATGCATCTGCAGCAGAGAATAAACTTTTTCCAAAGTCCCTACTGACTGACGTGTTCATCGTTTGCTTACACTGTAGTTTCAGAATGCACTCAGTGACAACACTTAGTTGTCTGGGCCAAGAGAAAACATCTTTGCTATTTTCACACACAACAGTATGAACACCAAAACTACATACGGAGGAGAAAAGGCTCACTCCAATGCATTTACTCCAAAGCAATCTTCTTTCTTGGTTGTGGACAATTCAATTTGATGGACTCTCCAGTCCAAGTCAGTATGGCACTTTGGCCAATAGAGCATTCCTCCAAGCCTAGACATTGCCAGCATGTCCACAGTGGTTGCCATGCATCTGAATGTTGACTCTTCCGCTGCAGTGTACAGCTAACTGATCAAACAAAATCTTGTTTGACAACCCTCTGACCCTTTGTGGTGCATGTTATCATGTTGGTGTTTTTTATCATACCTCACTCCAGTCCACCTTAGCATCTGGGTTAGTGCTGATCTTTCTGAAGATTGCCTTCAAATCTTGGCTGCGTATGTCCGGGCCAAACAGAGAGCGGATGGCCTCACAGAACACGTCAAACCGAAGATTTTCTGTGGTTGGAACCAACAAACTCAATAATGCAAAGCAGATTAGAATATTCATGGCAAGGGATTACATTTGATTTCTGAACACAGAAACTAAGTCTTCTGAAGAAGCACCAGGGGGTGAACATGTTTTTCCAGCATGCACTGAAGGAAATTAATTGTGGCTTGTACATCTGGTAGGGGCCAACTTATCGTAGCTGGTTTTTACTAGGTTGTGTTCAGGCCTTTGGGGTTGGCAAATTTTTCAAATTTTTTTTCAAATTACAAAATACAACCTCTTTAAAGGCCCAAATATGTCTAAATGGCCCAAAAATAAAAACTTGCAGTATAAATTCAAGCTTTGAATCATTTATTTCAACAAACTCTCTAGTTTACAGGTCATAAAATTTTCTAATAGCAGAGTACAGTATATTACCAGCCAGCAACCACAGCTGGGAAAAATACATGTATTTCCAAACTGCGGTGTAATTAGCTTTTGCAATTGGGATGGTCCCTGCTATACGTGCAGTTGGGCCCTGTACTCAATTTTTTTTTTAAATGATTTTTTACTTTGTCAGAGCCACAAATGTTGTACCCATGTTTGGGGTGTAACAATAAAAGATCAAATTGTGCCATCCTCAGAACTACGGGGCTCTTGGTTCCACCTGTCCAGGCTCAGAAAGAAGGAAATGAGGAAACCTATGCATGTGGCTCTAGGGGTACCTTCCTCCATGGGTACAGTTATCTAACTGGTAGGTAATATGCACCCGACATTCTAGCCCCACTAATGTGGCGCGGACTGTCACTCCCGATCCCTCCTTGAGGATGGATCAGGAGTGAGAGTCTGTGCCACACTAGTGGGGCTAACGACAAACATGTATGCAAATTGATTAATAGTTTGCTCATCTTCGATATCCATTCTTTATTTGAGCTACTGCCACTGCCAAAGTATCCTACAAGTATGGCAGTTTTCAGCACCAGCATGCCCAAAGGGCTGTCACAAATTGCAAATCCTACGTGCATACCATTCAGTATCTGGCGTCTCTCCTCAGCACTCGCCTCACTGTCTTGCTGCGTTAGCTCGGCAATGTACGACTCAAACTTCCTCAACTTCAGAGTGAAGGTTTGGGATGTGTAGGGCCGTCCCAGTCCACCAAAATCCTTCTCCACTGATGCCATCTTCGCAGATTTATTATGTTGCTGCTTTAGTTTCATTCATGTCGTGAAATTGGAATTATTCAAGGAGTCACAAAAAACTGAACTTATCAAAATCAAGTTCATGCAGACATCTAATAAAGGTGCTCAATATCCAGATTTTACCAGACAGAATTAATTTCACTTATTCAGTTTGCATCTAATCATGGAGGAATAAGAACATATCAAGGCCATTTAGTAGTTAGGGGCTAGGCCTCACAGAGTCATATGCAGCTCCTGAAGAACTCCCGCAAAGTTGACGTTAAGGCTTTTTGAACACAGTACCAAGATAAACAGATCTTTGGATTGGCAGCCCTATCACCATGGCTAGCTGGAATAGGAGTGGTATCACTGAATTGTTACGTGCAGTCATATATGTAGGTCATACCAGCACTGCGTGGTTGAGAGCTGTAGCCTGTAGGCCCACGATGGCAGGCTCTACTGCCTAACAAAAATTACCGATCCAACCGATGACGCAGGTGAATAGAGATCGACAAAATGGGCGAACTAGTGCCTACATGGTCAATAATTAGTGAATATACTTCCATGGATCCACAATCTGGACATTCCCTTTGCACTGCGGTGGCACATGGAAACAGTACGAAATGCTCGACACCGCACTTCGCACTCAGCTGCCGTCCGCCGCCTCATCACTGTGCATGCGGCGTGGGAGATATGTAGGTCGCATGACACGGTCCAGTGACCCCACAGGTTGGCGTACCCATGGAGACAGACGCTAAGCACGAGTGGGTGTGATTGCAGCAAGTGCGGCGGGAAATTTATGCAAGATTCACTGTTGAAACATTAAAACTTTGACACACGAAACCTGGCAACTTGCAAGGAAACAGGTTCTTTGTATCGATGTCATGAGAAACAGCCGTAGGCCAAGTTAGGTCAGAACGGGGAAGGATTTGTGCATGAGTTGTGAGGGAAAGTGGAGTTTGAAGATTGAATGATTGTGCATATGCATTCATTTGTAAAGTGTTCAACCTCAAACAATAGTGATATATCGACCTGCGGTCTAAAACGTGACAAAAAACAGCAGGGTACTAAAAAGGTTAAACTGGAAAGAGCTAAAAATCGAATATATCGACAGCGACCGGCTCAAGTATTGTCCAAAAGAGATTAGACGACATAAGCACCGAAAGGACATCCTGAGGCAAAACACTTCGATCGAGTGCCGGCTATTGTCATTCCTGGTGTATATCCGTTTAAATAAATGAAAAGGTAAATTAAGTAAATAAAAGATGATGAAATACAATAGGACAAGCTCTCACATGGTCCCTTGGTAACCCAACTCTTTTGTAATATGTGCAGAAAGTTGGCATTGCAAAACACAATTTTCAGAGTTCTGTTTGATCCAGACTTAAAATTAGCAACTAAGTAAAATATTAGCAGCCGCGGATCCGGACAGGAGTTGGGGGCCGACCCCCCCCCCGGGCTCTGAGATCAAAAAAGAAGGTAAAAAAGGGGGGGGGTAATTCTTAAAAATTAGGTGCATCAATACCTAAACAATTTGACATGTATTATGTTTCATTATCGTTTCCACTTGTCCGCAAAATGAGACGTTAACAAAAATCCACTCCCTAACCCCCCAAAAAACAAATTCTGGATCCGCCCCCGAACAGTCTATGAATTTAGGAACACTATTCAAGGATCTATCTCCAGGCAATGTAATTTTTAAAGCAGCCCTTGTCAATCTTCTTTTGTGTCCCATATAACATGATTTTGAAATTTTCGTTACAGCATTCTGGTTCCTTTAAAATTTTCATGCTTAAGTTTGCACATTTCGGTCTAATAACGAGCAAAAGTCTCAGGTCGTTCTGGGCAGAAACCTTAGCGCAGCGTTGCAACTTCTATAATTTTCCTGAATTTCTGACATTTTGCTGCCGTAACTCTTGTTTGCTTTGATGGTTCGTTGTTTCAGTACCAGTGAAGACCAAGGAGCAAATCCGCACAATGGGCAAGTTCTGGGTCTAACATTTGATCAGACTGAGACCCAACGGTGGCTGTGTTCTTTTCTCAATGGCACCTCACCATGCAACAGCTCCCTCACTTGTCAGGAAACTATTCAGAAAAGTGAGACCAGGTAGTTTTCTTCCATTTAAAAGGGGGCCTTTACACGTATTCACCTAGTGATAATTCAAATCACGAACTTCGACTCATTGCAATGTCCACGTTTGCTTCTGTCAGGTTTTGTGTCAGTGTCCTCATTTTTGAAAATCTGTTGCTATTCGCATTGTGCTACTCTGCACATAGTCCCGGTATCCCAAGCTAGACAGCGCTGGACAGACCCAAGGCCCGTTCCCTAACCCGAGAGTGAAGGGGGGGGGGCGTTCGTGAAACTTCTAACTTCTTGCATGTGGAAGATAATACATGTACATGCATACCGTAACTCGCTATCTCCTTCTGATGAAAATGTTTAACTACATCCTGCTTTTAAAAATTGATTCCAACGATATATTTTAGGCAACAAATAACTATTTTACAATCAGATTTTATATATTACTCTAACCACAGAGCGCCGCCAGTTGATTGACATGTTTGCTGTAAACCACTTAAAGGATAAGTGCATTTTTTTTTATTTTTTGGCACATTGCCACTGAGGGCAGTCTGTTCGCTAAGGCGAAGTCATTTCTTCATGAAAATGTCTCAGCATTGATCCCAACACTGATTTTTGACAGTCTACTATTGGTGGGAAAATTAAGGTACCGGGATGCCCTCGGCGACGCCCACTATCCGTTATTGGAAGTTTTAAGTTTGGCCGAAAACCGCAACTGGCTGAACGGAAATGCTTACATTAAAAAAAAAGATATCGCTTATACCCAAGGCTAAAAAGAGTACTCAAGGTTCATGCTAGCTACAATATACAAGAAAAGACAAGTCACATTTCACTTAAACTGTGAATTTTTATTTATAACGCAAAATGTATATCTATTCTGCAGGTAGGGAGTTCATGCGAGAGGCCGTACGAGTATAGTATCTCCGACTATACAGTACATGTACTAACCTTCACACGGACCAGTAAAGGATGCAAGACCAGGAACGCGTTCCAAGATCAGCCGTTCCGAATTTTCGCAAAATTATTGACTTTACTGAGGAATTGTTTTCCTCAGAATCATCAACATTCAACCAATTGCAGGGAATAGAGACATTTTAATTAACCTCGGCAGAAGCATCCTAACTTGGCTGCGGTATGTACATGTACGTGTAACCATACAGCTACAACCCAACCAAGTGGTCCCAATTCACTTGATTTTGATACTTTGTGTCTTGAATTACATGTATTCACAAGCCAACATGACGCCATGCGCATTATCATTATGCCATTTTTACACCGATCCAGAGCTGGACACGGCAATTGATGCAACAAAAATACGAAAAGAGACTTGTGCACTATATATCTTGTCAAATTTTGCTTGTCAGCATTCTGCAGAATTGGATGAGGCATTTAAAAACAAAGCTTTTAAAAATATTACATGCCTTTTAGGTTTTTAGTACATTATATTGAAGGAAAGTGTTTCAAGATAAAAATTTATAAATGTTAAAACTGCTCCATGTACATATCTTGTGTTTAAAATCAAGTACAATGCGTCATTTTCTCCTGAAACAAAAATATGCAATAATAATTTGCAAGTATTGTGGAAAATAATCGATAAAATATTAAAGACTATATTACAATTAAAGAGTCATGTTCAGCCGACTTCATATAGCAAAATATATTTCAGACTGAAACAGTAATTAGTAAACACATTACACACAACACATTACACACTACTGTACACTTTTACATGTATTATGCCACTGGGATTAGGAGAGGGGGCTGCATTTTTCAACAGTAATTATGCATGCATGATTCAAATTGTGTCCTAATTCTGTCCAGGAAGGGGCCAGTTAAACATGGTTGCTTTCGATTGTTGAAATATGAAGTACACGAATAGCTGAATGCGTTTATCCATTTTTATTAAGTTTTCATTTATTAATGAAAATATCTGCCCAGGTGGCAGGTCGTCCAAATGACTTTCGCTACCGGCCTGCAGCAGTCCATGAACTTCAAGAAACCACAAATTAAAATTGCCAAACTTATGAGCTATATATGCAATCACACGTATGAAACCAAAGCACGGTTCACAACCACGCACAATGCATGACATTTAGATGCTCAACCAACCATTAAAACTTCACGTGTGAAATTAGGCTCCTATAACATTCGGGCTTTATTTTCCTTTTTTTTTAAAAAAACCTCCCTGCCCACAATTTCGACCCGGGATTCAAACCCACACCTCATGCATCACAAACCATTATGCCTAACCGCTTGACTACCGCAATTCACACAAATTGATGGTGTTTTACTATTGATATAACGACTAACGGTTGCAACGCAAGTCTAATACACATTGGGCAGGCGCAATACAAACACAACCACCGTGGTTTGGCTTCATACGTATGGTTGCAAATATATCTCAAACTTATGGTTGGTCTATGTTGGAGGGGGGCCCGTATGACGGAGGTCCAAGTACGGATTGACTTGATTTCTGATGAGATCCACATCCGAGTACAGGAAGGCAGGCCCAATACCCAGACCGTGATTTCGAGAGAACAGGAGGAAGATGGTGAGGAACAAGGACAGCAAGAATGAAATGAAGAGCACCACGACAAGCCAGTAGATTATAAGCAGCAGGTATGCACAGCAGGACGGTCTCTCGTGCTCCACTTGGACTGGATCAGCCGTAGTTTGCTGACGAGGAAGCCCTTCGCTCTCGAATTCTTCGTTGTGGCGGTTTCGAAGGCCACTTTTCTGTTTGTGAGCTTCTTTTGGGAAGGAGACCTGGACCTTTTGGTTCTTGCAACTTCTAGGCCTAACCCTCGGTCTCTCCCTTTTCAAGCTTCCCTGCTGCACCACTTGGACATCGTCAGTCCAATTCTCCCTTGCGTCTTTGTATTCCCCATCATCAGACTCGGAGGAGAAATACTCGGTGTGAAGTGATGTTTCCATCTCGTATTCCGGATAGACCCCTTCCCACTGAAGCGTCGCCACTCTATTTTGTGTTTCACCTTCACCATCTATGGGTGTGGTTTGGGTGCTGACGCTGTATCTGTTAATGCGTAAACAATATTTCGGGAAATAAGGTGTACTCCTAGTGACATCTTTCTCGAGTTTCATTACTCGAGACGTTGATACAGTTTCGCCGATGCCGTCATAGCTCTCAGTCCTGTCAACTGAGGGCGCCCCAGCAGAAGCGCGGCATCCGCTTCCATATCGATTTGGGTCATCGATGGCGTCAAAGAAGATTTCATCCTCCCCGAAATTCGATCTTTTCTCGGTAGGATTTCCATCGCTTTCCATTTGCGCTTGGCGCGTGTCAACAGATGGGTGCCCAAGGCACCCCAGATGTTTGGCACCGCCTTTCTTTGCTTCGCTCTTCCTTTTGCCTCTCGGCATTTTCATGTCCTTTGCGGAACAGCTTCAGAGCGACGCAGTTCTAGTTGTCTCCGTCTGTTCCTTGCTCTACTGCCTATGGTCCCTCGTAGCCTTTACACGAGGATGCACCATAGAGTGTCCTCCAATTCCTCATCATGACGATCAATGAAATCTCCTTTGTCCTGACACAATACGTCTTCAGCACGAAGCAGTCAGCATTATGGGCCACTAACAGTGGCCGGGGAGCTATAAAGCAAAGAATGAGCATCCATGGATGTGATTGCCGAGTGAAATAAAATGCATCTTTCCTCGTCTGGTTGGTCACAAGGTCTCATGCTCACTCACTTATATCCTTCCCAAGCAATACGGCTGACCCAGTCCTCAGACGTGGCTTCAACCATAGCGCAATATGCTTCAACGAGCAGCCGCCAAGTCTTCAGGAAGCACAAGTTGTACATGTACACAGAAATGTGAAGTTAAAAGGAGAACCTCGTCCAAGCACTTCACAACTGCCATTCCCTTTCACTCTCAATGAAAGCGGTTTATGGATACATTACCCGCCGCTAGCGCTATGGAGGTGCACAGATTATTGCGTGTGCTCTCCAGCTCCTGCGTCCTGGGAATGTTCACCCTCTGGCTGTGCATGCACGACGTGATCACTGAACACTCCAGACCTCACGCCAACGCCTGGGAATGTTTTTGATTCCTGCATGGACCCAGACTGCTAGGTCACTGGCTGACCTTGCACCACGCATACAATAACACGCAATGTAATAAATAATACTTTCTGCACACGCTGCGATGACAGATATAATGAGATGTAAATGATTTAACTTGAATTCCAGAAGTGCGTGTTCATGGATATGACCGTAAATGACAGTCGATGGGTGTAGTGTACATGTACTTTTACTACTATAGACAATACATATGCATTACATGTACATGTCATGGCTTCAACTCGGTAAATAAGTAGCAGGCCAATCAGAGCACGTCTACCTGCCTCTTCACATGCCTGCTGCATCGCACAATGAGTCGTATTGGTGCGGCTGGGCTGAACTGGAATACATTGCTTTCGATCAGTGCTCAAGAATTAGGCTGTGTTCGGTTCCAAGCGTTGTGCAAAATCCGTGAAACTGTTGCTGAAGCATTCATATAATTGTTAGCCACGCAATGTTGCTCAGTCGCGAGCAAGATCCGTTTACGTTTCCTTCATCATTTGTTTCTCGATCTGAAAACAAAATGTGAAAAAAGTTTTTTTTGCTTTTCAATTTAAAAAAGGCAAACTGCAATCGAAAAAAGTCGTTTCTCGTTTTCTATTTGGAAACGAAAAATTTTTAATAAGGAAAGAAATGTATTTGTCGTACTGAATCCTCAAAAATTTCATTTTAATCTGAATTTTGCTTTTCTGGATCTAAGAGGCGTAGTTGTAAGTAGCCAGGCTCCTGGTGTCCTACCATATTCTAATTTATCCGTAAAAAAACGCTCCTATAATATAATTACGGCAATTTTTGTCCTTGAAAAAGGAACGCATACACGCATCGTGTACGCAACGCACCAGAAAAACGTTCAAATGAAAAGGCACCTTTATGAAGGAAAACTGAGTAACTGTTATTGTGAATTATTGTGATGCATGAGGGAACTCAGCAAAATGAAGCAAGTTATACCCGCTTATATTATTTTGTGGATAGCATCACCAGCGCACTTCCTCGGACATTGTTTGTCAAAAATTCGGGGGCTTTGCTCGTCCTTTTACTTTGTTAACGACGAATTCATCTTCTCATTGTTTCAACCATGTTTAATTCATCTACTTCAGCGACCTGCAAGATTGCCTAAAGACGTACCTTACATTACAAATGAAAAACGGACATGTTTTATATTTTTTCTCTGTATCGATAAATTTATTTTGTTATTCGTTCTCACACTGAAGACGGAACACAAACTGATTCTTGTTTTTTGTTTTTTAAATATAGTAAGACTGAGAAACTTTCTGGGTTATTTTAATTTAGTTTGCGTTTCAAATGGAAAAACGAGGAACGACTCATTTTTCAGTTTTTCTTTTTCTCATTGACAAACGAAAAACGACTTGTTTTCAGTTATCCATTTTTGTTTCTAAATCGAAAAAAAAGAAAAGAATGCGGTAGAGAACAAAACATATCACTGTTTGGCGCGCCAGACTATGGAATTCCATATCTGCCGTCGCCCGTCGTCCGTCGCCTTTTGTGTCCGAATTCTGCCATTTACCAGTTCCAAACATGCCATTTTCCGTCGCCCGTGTTTTTTTTTGTCACGATTGCGCAGTGGTATTGTTAACTTTGACTCTTGATCGTTTCACATGTACTTGATCGATCGATCCATCGTGTCTGTCTCTCATTTTAGCAGTAGAACTAGAAGATGTATTCGTTTTTGCAGTTGCGCCGAACTCCACTTGAAAGAAGAAGTAATATCCTTTCATTTTTTTAAAACTGACATCGGTAAAGTGACGTGTATATGAAATAATACCATTTTTGTTGCATAAATAAATTAACAAAATAGACTTTTGTTAGGTAGATTGTTTTCCTTGATAACTTAGTTACTCTAGACGTAACTTTACTCGTTAACGGCCTGACGTTAGGCCTATAGCCTATGTAATATTTCTGTCTGTCCCTGCACGATGTCCCACAGAACTGATTGTTAATAATATATTATTTACAATGTTTGATTCCTTAATATTTTTCATAAGAGACGAACTGATTCAACATTATTTTGAGGGCGGGTATACCTATGATGAAATCTGCTGTATACTCCAAATTAGACGGGCAATGCGCGACGGGCCGCGACGGCAGATATGGAATGGCCACGGGATGTAGTTTGTGTGGTTTCGTATCATAATAACACGCAGGTCACTATCCGCTAAACGTAAACACGGTACGGATGAGGGTATCTCTACAAATTTCGCGTAGTAAAAATTCAAATGTCCAGTTAATCTGTGTTACATTTTCCATGTATTCATGATCGGAGAGAAAGTTAAATGAATAGCTAACATATACCGGACGGGTTTGTGAGTTTCAGAATCTTTCGAATACGAAAGTGTTAGTGTACATGTACAAAAAGTCGGTTTCTGCGGTGTTTACCGTTGTCGGAAATCATGAATTCGCGAAACGGGTAGATTTTAACGGATACAGATAGTTAAAGGTACGTGTACGCGCATCCGTACCGTTACCGTGCGAAACATTCATACATCCCGAATGACTGCAGCTGGTGGCACACGTTGTACACAATCTTTGATGTTGACGTCGGATATAGCGGAAAGGCGAGCGGCCGGCCAAGCGCGACGACCGTGTATTGTATGTGTACAGTGAGCAACGTAAGTCCGACTTGATTCACGTCTAATCATAGGCTGGTTATACGTGCACGCGACACGGGTCGACCTTCGGCACACAGGAGGCGGGGGCTGAGCATTGAAACGTTTTACAAACGTTTGTCATGCATATGCAATGTCCGTGTCTAGCCGGTGGGCTGTACCAACCGTGATAGAGAAATTTTTTTAAAAGTTGCATATAATACCGAGGTATGTTCAACTTAGAGATGTGCCAGCGAAAGCTGCACATATAATAAAATTGGAACGATACAGAGAAGATTAGCATGGCCCCTGGCGCAAGGATGACACGCAAACTCGTGAAGCGTTCCAAATTTTTTCTCCAGAGTGCCTCGCCCCCACTGCCAAAAGCCAGGCTGAACCATGGAGGTAGAAATAAGGCTTCGGTCCCAGACGTTAGTGTGAACTGGATGATTTCCGCGGTGCGCATACATCATCCTTAATTTTTCTCGCTGTGGGTTGGCCCTGGATATGAGCCCAGCTAGAACCTCAAAGGGAAAGCTTTAACTTAACTGTGGCCTTCTTATCAGTCTTATGATTAGTCTGGTTCCCTGCCGACTATTGATAAAAAAAAATCTTTGGTCAGGCATGCGCCCACGGATATAAATAGATATGACGGTCAGCCTAGGTGACAAGTTGAGAGCCCGGATGTTTTCTCAAATGTAATCTCAAAAATTAGGCTTTTCCCATATCCAGTGGGCAATACTGCAAGTGGATACACTGAGAGCATGTTTCATGTTATATTCTCCATAGCCTGGCATTTCGGTCAAGGCGACCTTCGATTTCAGTGTGAAGTCAGATACGGGAGTTAGCGTTCAACAGCTAGCCCATCTACCTCTGTATGTTTATAATTATGTCTGTGGAACCATAGAGGAAGGACACAGGAGTTTGAACTGCCCGGGTTGTAACATCTGGCCAATTACCACTTACTGGCAAGCCTGGTATGTCCATAGCCAGAGCGCAGCGAACGCTTGCTACGCTCCACCTGTTTCACAGCCGTGAAACCCCATCGCCGCCGCAATTTGTCGATGGTAATCTGCATCCTTAAAACTTCGTGCACTGAAGTGTAGGAAATTGAATATTCCTACCTTTGTTGATGCTGGGTATAAATTATAATCCCACAACATCCAATTTAATGCTTGCTCTGTTGCTTGCATTACGCTGTGTGCCCTCAATCTATATGTGCAGTCATTGAGCTCTTTCTTCTGGAGTTATTTTGGGAATAAATAGCCCGGTTGTTTACAAGATTTTGTGTTTTGCTTGAATCATTTTATTATTTAAAGCATTTGTACAAAAGCATATTTTATGAGATTTCACGATCACTCCCTGTGATGAAATAGCGCATTTTGTTCCTAATGAACTGAGCTTTCCTGTAGTAATGAACATTTTGTTGGCCAGTCTTAGCCAAATTCGTACCAAGTCTTTGAACACTGATGTATCGGACGAAGGAATACAATTACAAACTTTGCTTGGATAATGGAACAGTGTATCAAAATTTAAAAAGTTTCTTTACGTTGGCAAACGTAGGTCTTGTATCAGGGATTTCTCACTCTCTATTTCCTGGTCACAGCGATAATTTGTATTTAATTGCAAGCAAAAAAAAAAACTACATGTATTACCAGGATATTACTGGCCCCGCTTGTCCGGCTAAGATACAGGAAGTAATCAGGCATTTTGGGAATGCTTTCTATTATTCGTCTGACTCGACAGCGACCATCATTGCAGCTCATTCTGTGTCCTTCCTCTATGGTTCCGGAATGTATGGTCTTTGCGTCCACGCCGCATGCGTGCAAGAACCCAACAAGAGAACTTCGCGCACCAGTCTCTCTTTCGCCGGTGAGGGTGCACGTCAACTCGGGGCTAATTATAACATTCGTCTGTTTTAATCATCCACTTAAAAAGCGGCCACAATGTGAACAAAAACTGAAAAACAAAATCTATAATGTAATGGACTATACATGTATATAGCGAGGCTAATGGCATTAACAAAATACAAAAGTTTTTTTTACAATGTCCATATACACAAAAGCATGACTCCGTGTACTTCAATTTTCATGAACGTCAAATTTTATCACTTTTTACGTGTACATATGAACATGATGGCCTTTTCCCTGCATACACACAATCACCCCGAAATTCTGCTGGTACCAGGACAGCAGAAATCGACTGTAAATTAGCTCCAGAAATGTGTCAGCTCAGTATTGTTAAACAGGAAATTTTCTTTAATACTTCAAAGAGTTCTCAGGATGTTTGAAATCAACAAAACAATCAGATTTCAAAGAGAAAGAATAGGCAGCTATTCTCTTTCTTTTCAAAGTTTAAATGTGCTCAAGTCAAATGTCTACAAAAAATGGCATCTGAGATAATATTATTCACTATATCAAGTGAAAAAAAAATCAATTACTGAACAGGATTCAAAATTTAACCCAACCAAGTCCACTGCAACAGGTCACTGCGTAGTTTGCAATTGGACCGGGGTTTAACAATTCGTTTACGACAATAATTTCAAATTCAAATTATGAAACTTGGTTCACCTCTTGGTTCAACACCAGGTGCCCCATGCTACCCACGGTAATAGGATTCTGTGTGCACCAGTGATGGTATTTGAGGCACTGACAACACTTAACAGATTGCCTAAGAGATGGAAAATGAACCATAGAAGTAGCCACTGAAACAGAGATGCAGTCTCGAAAAAATATCTTTAACTTCCTGGAATCTAATAAAATTTCTTACAGAAAAACCTTAATTTTGACGAGTCAGACTTTTCTTGGACATTTTGTTGATGTAGCTCCTGTCCATTTTCCCTGAAACAGGCTGTGTCCCGGAGATGTGGCTACGGCTGGAAAGAAGACATGCACCTATGGCAGCTGCCATCTAACGGCTACATGCATTTCCTATAGACATGTGGTATTCCAGCCGCAGCCTAGTAATTTCAACACGGCCAGATTGACGAAGGTTGTGCACTAATTGTCTCCATCACAGTGTTGTATACATGTAGTCAAGATCATCACAAGGCCCTTCCAAAGACCAGACACAAGATGATGCACAAGACCAGTCCCAAGTAACAAGGTGAACAAGTAATCAAGGAATGCTAGCGTTGCAGTTCAGGTGAATAGCCGGTGACGGGAATTCAGACTGGAGGTCTTGTTTTGGTCTTGTGACGGTCTTAGGAGGTCTCAACTACGACACTGCTCTACCATACTACAGTATTGTAACAGAAACAGACCAAACGACAATATACACTGGCTTTTTTGGGCACGTCAAGTAAGGACAACAGCAAATAAAATCCAATCTTATATTCTTGGTTTTTGCATCTGCTTTGCCGAGGTGCTCAGATTTCTCTCCAATTAATTTTACTAAATGGCTTAAAAAACATTTTGAGTTTAGTTTTACTTCACTTTCTAAAGAGAGGCAACAGACTTAGTTGCCTGAAATCTCGACACGTTTCCATTCACAGGCAGAATCAAGTTCATCTGTCATTACTCCATAAACACACACATTACATTAGCTCTCAAATGTCTATTTTGATAAATTAGTGATTCCAAAACAATGCGTGTGACTCGAGGCAATCACAAAGCAAAAAATCTGTTGTCAGAAAATCAACTGCAGTTTTAGAATTGAGTTAGGTATATCTAGGCTGCAAGTCAACAGCGAAATTTTACAGTAGACTACTAATCCTAACCGTGCATAATCCAAGAAGATACTACATAATTTTAGTGGTCCCGAGAGGTTGGAGTTGAACAGTCTTATAGTCAAGTCACAAGCCAAACAGAATGAACACTGACACAGGAATGCTCTTGTGTCACTTCACTAGAGTGAGTTTCAGGTTACATCAGGACTGGATGACTTGTGAAAGAAAGCCTATTTCACTCTTTGTATCAGTACACCCGGGGGCTTGGAAAGAGTCTCACAGACATGTTTCCAAGGCAAAATTAAACGGGTAAATGAACTGTCATCTTCTAAGGTTTAAATTGTATGGGGAAATTTCAGTTCTGCTTGATTTGGACACAACATACCAGAACTATCCACCCACAAGCACATAAATTGTACAAACTATTATATACCCTCACAGTTGGGCACCAATGTCAATTAAAAATATGGGGATATAAAAAACGAAACTGCAGCTGAGATAACATATTTGAAAGAATTAGTATCTTGAGATGTAAAAAAACGCACACAGCGAGATGAGACACTTCGTGCAGAAAAAGGCTCAATGTATGACTTGTGACTTCAAGAGAGAGACAGAGATGGTACTATACAAAGACTTGACTGCTAGCCAAGGAGTCTGTAAATGGGAACACTATCAGGCTGGTGCAGAAGTAGAAGACCAGGCCGAAGCAGATGGAGATAGGCAGAGCAGGGAGGGCTTTTTTGAAGATGGCCAGTAGGATCAGGGTCAGACAGAGTCCCTGTATGGAGCAACAAAAAGAACAAGAATATCACAATATTGTAATTGACATTGGGGGAAAAATGGACCTACACTATGGAATACAGACCTAACCTATGGAATAATGACCTTAACTATGGAATAGCTTTCCAATCCCTCTTAAATGTTTAAGGTCGTATAATACGTTTCAACAGAAACTCTAATTTTATCCAGTGTAAATATATGTGTCCCAGTCTCTCCACCTTTGTTTTATTATCCTGCTCGTAGCCTGCTTATCCACAATTTTATTTAATGCCTACAGCTGGTTGTTAAAGTTAACTGTCCCATGATAAATCTGTTTAAAACTTGGCATGGACATAATGGCATCCATTATGTGCAATCAAAGTTTCAATTCAACCCAAGATAGGGTTTGGTTTTCATGGTCACCTCCAGTTCAAGGTCTCGTGTGTTGTGCTCTTTGGGTTATTGATCAGTATTGCCCGGTGAATTTTAACAATCAACCAAAGGCCGCGATTCCATCCCCCTGACCCCATGTACGTGTACTTACGATAAGTATAGATACAAAGCAAGCGATGGTGGTGGTCCAGTCCCCCTGAGCTGAGGCCTTGCCGACTAAGACACTGTAGAAAATAAAATCCCCTAGACCAAGCTTCACACCACCTGAACAAAAAATAAATACAAAAGACACAAACATGATCAATGCATTTTTTTTTTTAAATTCCCTTGCTTTTATTTCTCTTTTCCTCTCTTGAAGGCAGAGTAAAAAACCTGGGGAAAAATGTGCTCTTTTCATCAGGAGGAAAAGCAGAATGGCCATCTTGAGTCCCCCTCCCCATCAAAAACTTGTAGGAGGGTAGCAATGATCAATGCAGTTACTACTTTTTTCATTTTATTAGATGTTGATTATTATTAGATGTTGAGAATAGCCCCCCTTTGCTACCGTTCAGAGCCACATAATTAGGCCACAGACTGGTCCATGCGATCAATGCTGTTCATAACAAGGAGTGGGCGTACGTTCTTCATCGTCGTCCTCATCCTCCGCAGGCTGTCTCCTCGGACTCCTCTCGGGGACCTGACGCAGGGCGTTGGCAGCCGCCCGAGCCTCGTCAGAGTTGCAGCTCAGCTCCCTGTGCAGGGCCTGGTCCTGCCGCTGGCGGAACTGAACATCAAACCCTGCTGCTGCTGCGTCCTCTTCGTCTGGGTCTGTGTTGGCAGCCCCTGATTCTTCAAAATGAAAAAATGGTGACATTACAACTGAACATGTAACAGTTCCTGGACTATAAATCTCACTAACCACTACAAAAATTGATTTGCAGAAGCACAAATGAATATGAAGTACCAAATTGAATTTTACCGAAACACTGAGGGGAGGGGCCTACACAGTGCCCCGAGTTGCCCAGGAAAGCATGGATTATTTCAATCATTTTAAAAAGTGCAGTTTTCAATGCATTTAACCAAATAGGAATGTGAAACACTTTTTATACATTGAAGAAGAGTACAAAGTTGAAGAAACACTGCGTCCCAGAAAAATTTCACTGCAGCTACACTTTAAAGTTGTAGCTCCATAGAAACACCTGAACATCAAACTATATGCAGCACAGCCAAATATTGAAGTACTTCTGTTTAATTTGAATACTGAAGGTCTATGATTCCCGTATCGATTTCAGAGATGAAGCCTGAGATGGATAACTGTGCCTTTATAGCAATACTGACAGTGCAATACCAACAGTGTAATGAAAAACACAATAGATTATTCTGGAAAATAAAATGAAAAAGGCCGACACTATTCACGTGACAGCACTCAGGGGCCATACACTTTTTCCATTTTTTCTGATGCATACAAAGAGTATACCCGGAGGGTGCGAACTGAAAAGGAAAATCATGGTTTCTGCTGAAGGTCTTTCCACCAGTTGTAACATGATTGATAAGTGTGTATGTCAACTGATCCTAATTCCACAAAAACTGTTCATAACCTAGAGATAAGGCAGACAAAAAAACCTGGCGGCCCTAGGACTCTTCACGTCATGTGGACCTCTAGAAAATGGACTGTGTCATTGATGCTGAGCTCAGACAGTACTTAAAATCCTCGTTGCAAGATGTGCCTTTTTACCTGTCGATGATTCCAGTGCTGGATTTTCACATCCGTCTGACCTGGGCTTGTTGGGGTCATTGTTCGCCATTCCCACCATCCACGCCATGGTAGCTGCAAAACAAAATCAAAGAGCTGAGATAACCCATTGACACTGAGGTACTCTGCCTTAATCCCTGAAAATCTGAGAAATTTCTGTTAAAGCAGTGCAGTATCCTGGAGCTGTATGCATGATTTCACATATCCCTAACCCTACATAATACTACAAATTACTACTTGTAGTAAGATGTAGTAATCAGTGCTGCCACTTGTAAGAGGACATGACCGTATTGTTCTCTGAAGCCATAACATACAATAGAAAAGACAATGTACTATACAGCGCTGTGGCACTATGAATGCATGGCTTTATTGTTCTCTGTACGAGTAACGATGGAAGTAACCTAGCCAAAAGTAGTAATATGTAGCACGAGGTCCTTCAGGCTCAGACTATTGCTTAGTATTTTGTAGTACTGAGTACTGTAAGCCAAACAATATGTTTGGTGGTTAGGGATATAATAAAAAAAATGAATGTACATGTCGGAGTATAAACAATGCAAGGCCTAATCCAAGACTTTGACACAATGCATCTGTTGTATTCAGCCACACTTTTTGGCCACTCAGTCTCAGCCATCCAAAATCCTCCAAAGCTGCCCTGAAGATTTTGAAGGATAGAGGAAACTTAGGCTAAAATATTCCACTGGGCCGTAGCTATAAATACATTACTTACATGAGTATATGAGAGCAGGAAATATGGGCTCATTTCTTTCTTGAGCTGTCTCCACGAGAACCCTCAATGGCCCCTTGGGTGATAGAACAGCAAACAAGTCTGGAAACAAGGCAGAAGGAAAATCACTGACAAGTTGAAACTTTGGGATCTTTATGCTATAAGGCCAAGAAACTATCAATTAACCTTTAACCTTTAAGTTAACAATATAAACCTCTATCTCCAAACGATTTTCACTTAGGAGGGTGGGGACATGACAGGGTAACCTTTGCACTTTGCAGGTCTACCAGATTTGCTAAGATACTTGACTGTTTCTGGTCTCTCCCATGTCATTTTAACTTTCAATATTCCTGAAGGCCAGAACCACACAGTCGGCCCAGTCTTTTTCTAGTTCACAGACGAGGGCATCTTGTGCACAGTCCATGAACACGTAGGCAGTTATGTGCAACAAACCAACCAAGGGCTGACCGCCAGTCCTCGGCCAAACAGGCCAATCTGTTCCACGCGTAAAGAAACTCACCGTATATGGCAATGGCCGCCAGTATAGTCCACAGCGTCCACTCGGGGAGGTACTTGATGAAGGTTAAGGCAAGCAGGGCTGAGATGACGATGAGATAGATCTGCTGGAGCCGCAGAGGACCCTTCCAGTGGATGCAGATCATGCCCACCACGCCAAAGTTCCACATGATGATGCAGGCCGTGAAGTAATCCAGGGGGATGTTGTAAGTGAGCATCAGCTCTCTGGTGAAGGAGGAGGCGATAGAGGTGAAAAAAAGGTCACATGCAAGAATACTGGAACAGGACGTACAGCTGAGCAGTTGATACCGAACTGGTTGAGGATGCCTTTGTACATGGCTGCTTTACACACATATAAAGGGGGGATTCTGGGTGCTGAATATGATTGCAATTTTCAATTCAAAAGGCATTAATTATTTAACAACTGGGTGTGGCTTTTCCCCTCAATCTCGTCCATAATACAACTTGTAATATTTAGTGTTTAAGGATTCTGCTTGACGGAATTCCCAAGAAAAACATAGTCAAACAGAGATAAAGAGAGCACTGTTAGTAAGTCACGTTTATAACAAGGACAATATTAGGTCTTTTAGTCTTTGTTTTTCTGTTTTCCATCACTGAAAATATGAAGGTAAATTATTACAAGGTTATTTGTAACATCCCAAGGACTTTGTTATAAGTGTTCCAGTGTAATTAAACGATAAATATCACACAATCCTGTGTAATGGAAAACTCTGGCTGAGAACCAAATCAACGCCACAGACGGAAGGTGATGCAGGTAAAGGTACATGTAAATGACTCCAACCGGACTCGCCAACAATGATAAAATTAAGAGGAGAAAGAATTCATTTCTGAAGAAGAAACTTACTGGAGATACAATAATGCAAAGAAGAACAGCAGCAGCAATGACGACAGAATGAGCCAGCCGTGGATTATCTGCAAAGAGAGAACAGTGAGAATAACTTTATTTTCGGTGAATCACAAACTTTGAAGTTACGGTAGCTTTGAAGGCTTTCCCTGGAGAAGCAAGGTTAGTTTCTAATTTCTAACAATATTTTCAAACCGGGAAAATGTGGGCTCAAGCTTAGTACGGCCATAAACATGCTTGAACAGGCATTATATCTAGTGCTTTGTTCTTGAGTGGCCGTGCCATCCCTACATGTTTAAACTGTTTGAACAGGCCCTCAAACTTGATGGAGATGGAGAGAGTCACATGTGCTCGGCCAGGCTTAAACGTGCATTTAAGACCGGCTGGGCTCGGGCATCATCAGATTTCGTTCTCCTGAGCAAGGTCTTAAGGCTAGCCAAGCACATATTTATTCCCATTCATAACTACGTAATTATTCAGAGGGTCAAAAGAAGTCTACATGATGGATTTCCAACAATTTTGTTCTAAAATTTTACTTTCATTTTCCCGATCACCCCTGTCCATTTTATGGTATATTCCTTTTGAAAGTTGTCCAACAGAATCCCCTTTACTGAACTTGGCGCATGCATTGCGTGCACACACTCCTGACCAATCGGACCCAATTAAACTGCCTCGCAACCATGTGCCAATACGTGATTTATGCAGCAGTTAATACGAGGTCACGTAATGGGTTTGACCAATAGGAATAGAAAAACTGTCTGAGGTAATGTAGTATACCTTGTAGCATCTATACTTGTAGAGCATCACTAACACAACAGTAAGCGCCAAGACAATGGCGATAATGATGAGGGCGTTCACTACAGCATTCCAGGCCTTAGTGCCAGCGCCACCCTGGTCCTCATGGAAAGGTGTGTAGACACTGTATAAATCAACCACACAAGGGAAGAATGGACCAATGATTTACATGTATTTTTCATTACTTCTAGGCTGAGGTGTGGGATACAACTGAGAAAGCCTCATCTGTATGGGATGCACTCAAGCTCAATGAATCTGGCCGATGCCAATTCACTAACATTTCAGAGATCCTTGAAATTCACCAAGGGGATTTGGAAGATTTTGCAGGACTGAGGAAGGCACACATATGGACAATCCCTATAATTTAACACAGGGCTCAATACTTACATGTACATGTACCTACATGTACTAGTACACTGTACAAGAAAGTGGCATACAGTGTATGGTACATGTACATGTATGTGCACAAAGAGCAAGCTAATCCTGCATTGAGGACAGTGTGGCAGAAATGAGGGACCGTAGAAAGACCAAGAATCCACAAATAATCGAGAATATTGATAATACGCAAGTGTTTTGGCATCAAGGTTAATTTGTAGCCATTTGTCAGGCAGTAACCCTCACAGTTCTGCATAAAATTTGACCTGCAGTACTCAATACTACAAAATACTAAGCAGTAGTCTGAGCTTGAAGGACCTACATGTAGCGCTACAATTTTACAAATGACTACTTCTGGCTAGGGCACCCTCTATTGTTACTCGTACAGAAAACAATAAAGTCGGGCATTCATAGTGCCAGAGCACTGTATGGTACGTTGTCTCATCTATTATATTTTATGGCTTCAGAGAACAATAAGGTCATGTCCTTTTACAAGCAACAGCACTGAAAACTACATTTTACTACTTAGCAGTACTTTGTGGTATTTGGGGCTGTTAGGGGTAATGCTTACAGCCCAGTATACCCGATACGTGTACATGTACGGTAGCGTAACATTTAGAAAATATTCCCAAAGACCCAAGGTAAAAAAGTCCAGGAAAAGGGGAAGTGCCAAGGATCAACTCACAGGTAACCCCCTCCTGCCTCTGTGTAGAAGGTCACAGTGGATATGGTGGTCACCACCACAATCATGCAGAGCGAGACAGGCACAAACAGCATGATGACGTGCTTGGCTCCGTACTTGAGGATCTCCTCCTCATCCTCTGCCTCCTCGCTGGCGTTGCGCTGCCGCTGGGAGCGGTTCCTGGCACTGTTCTGCTCCCCTGGGGCTGCATTCCGGCCACGCCTTACTTCGGTTGCCTCTTCATCCTGTGCAACATTGACAGAATTTTTATCTCTTAGGTTGGATCATCACAGACATTGTCCCGTTTGTTTGGACACACCAAAGACTTTTTAAATGAATAACTATGCCTGTCCACTGGAAATCATACATGTACACATGTACAGGTACATGTACATGTAACAACCTGTAGCCGAACTGATAAAAAAATCCAATACAAACTGAGAGAAAGTTGCCAATTAGCCCCCAAATTACCTGATCATGTACATGTAATAATCAAGCTTTTCAGAAATGTCAGCCTTCACGGCAAGAGCTACATTCAAAGGAAAAACATACTGAATACCACATGCCACTTGTACCTTGTGTGTACGGTACTCATGCATGGTGCAAGAATTATACCAGACATGCACCGGTACATGAGTCAGAACAAAGCAATGACTCTGGGCCACTAGATTAACCCTAACACTCCTCAATCCTTCACCTGTTGGAGGACTGAGGAGTGTTAGGGTTAAAAATGAAGCATTATGCCAGAAGTCTAAAAGAAATTCCAATGAGTCTAGGATATTCGTGGACATGATATATACATACAAAAGCACAATCACGGATACTACAATTACAAGCCAGAAGAGTAGGGAAAGAGAGCTGAGAGGACACAGTGAGGAGATTAAGAATTACTGCACATTATCTCACACTCTAACCAGTAACCAATACTTTAACACTCGGACCCAACTATCCTCTTTGGGGTGAAAAGAAAAAGGACAAAACACCAGAGGTGACCTCTGAACTCTACGTAAGGTTCTGTACTCAATATAGCAGGCACTCCACCTACATGTACATGTAGGGAAACCTGACAAGATCTAACCCCTGGTTTTACATGTATGTTGAAATCAGTGGGTATCAGCTGTCAACAGTTACAAATCACTACTACATGTACATGTACCGGTATACCTGTATGATGTACATGTACCAGTATTTAGCCAAGCCTGCATGTGGAAATCTAAGACAGGTTATTTCACCGGGGACACCTGTTTTACACGTACCACTTGAAGTGTGCATAGTTTTTTGCACTGAATGTTTGGTAGGAATGCCATATTTCACACCACAGTGATGGTCAGTGACTTCGCAGTGTACCGTACATGTACACTGTACACGTACATGTACATGCACCAGTATGTGACATGCAGAGCGTGTACATTAACATGGCCCGGGAAACCTCAAGATACAATGTACATGTAACATTCAGCCCCCCTCCCCCATCCCTTTGCATTTCTGTAATTTCAATAAACCCTTTATAGATCCATCGCTGCACCTGTGTGTGGTATCAAAGTTTCGTGTTTATTCAAGAAATGCATACAGGGTACCGGTACATGTGCCCAGTACATATGTGTTTGTAGCAAATTACCGAGTGGAAGAGGAAACCTTCCAACTGTCCAATTAACAATGTACATGTGCAGATACATGTATGTGTTACATGCATGTGTATTGATCATTGTCGACTAGGCTAGTAATTACATGTACATGAAGTTGTTGAGCAAAACACGGAAGCATGCATACACAGATGACTTTCACTGAGAATACGACGAGTGGGGTTGTGGGCACAAACCTTTCTCATGGGTTCCAATCCATTCCTAGCAAAGGCTACATCTCCACGGTCTGCATCAAGCAACAGCACAGCACACTCTCCACACCCACGTTCCATTGCATCAGGCTTTTATTAAAGTAATAATTATTCACTCAACACATGGACGTGTTCCTACAAGTACATGTACATATATATGTATGCAGCAATTCAACTTTTTTAGTGCTCAATACACACACTGCAATTGCAAACAGCTAAGAGCAATGACAAATGTAAAAATGATAAAGGACACATGCAATACAACATGTTAACACTGTACCCACAAATACACTGTAGATCACGGAACAGTACATGTAGACATGTACACATGCATTTAAACAAATAATATCTCATTTCAAAATCAATGTATTGACAGGGGAAGGCATCATGTGTGTATCTCTCAGCAAAATGGACAATGAATTCAAACACAAATTAATAATCAACTTGACAACATGCAGCACATGACCCCAGAGGAATTGCATGCACATGCACCCTACTCTAATGCTCCATACTGTACATGTTTTATGAAAAGTAACTGATGGCTTCAAGGGGCAGACAAAAGTACACATACATGTACATGTACACCTGAAATGCAACAAGATGATCTGTCATAAGTACATGTAGGACAATCTACTCCCACATGATGGACATGTACAAAGGCTTACACGTACATGTACATGTACAAATACATCAATAAGCATATGAAGCTACGGGTACATGTACATGTACAGGTGTATTTAAGTGTATAAAAGCAAGGTACACTGTACATGTACATACATGTACATGTACCATGGAGGAAGGACATACACCTGTACTACATGTTAGGTACACTGCCCATGTACACATACATGTACATGTACATACGGGTAGATGTACATGTAAAGTAGCCATCAGGCATACAATGGGAATACACAGATACATACTTGCAAGCTGGGCGGGATGCAAATATTTTTGTTACACAACACACTGGGAGACCGACTTGAAAAGGTTAAAATAATGACCCTGGAGTATGTTTTTCAGAGAGACCTTTCTACAGTTCTAAGGCCAACAATTCAAATGGGGAAGCTTAATTCCGCTACGGAGGTACCTCTACAAGTAAAGAAAAGACCATGAGGCGAGAAGACTACATGTACATGTACCTGTAGTCTCCTCTCAAGACTGGCAGTAAACCAGTTTCCCGTAGGAAAGTACATGTACATGTACATGGTGCATTCCCTGATTACTGTGCAATAAAAAATACTGTAAGCAGGATGGGCTATGGATGGAGACACACTGAACAGTGGCAAAGACAGGGAGCTTGAAGTGGTCATGAACTCAGGCTGAGTCACCCACTGCAGAGAGTGGTTTCAACGATGAGCAACACCCACAAGTACCACGGTGCACTGTTTATCATTTACCTGTATCTCTGTGACAACTGCACCTGTCGATCGAGTGGGCTGTGTTGTAAAATGATAACCAGAGTACGGTCATTAGATCATTTGCAACAACGTACAGGACAATACAGGTCAGGGTTGAGGTACAGCGGAGCTGTGAGGATGACTGCAATCATAACAAATGCTCAACTGCATGATAAACATTGTCAACTGCATGGCCAATCAACTGCAAACATGAGCACATTTTACTCTCCGATTAAAAGTACCAATGGAGTACCGAAGTGTGATGTCATTTTGAACCATGAAGGATAGTGCTAAGTGCTACGGAATACATGTGTATTCTGTATGTATGGTACATGTACGTGTCTAATTTTCATAGATCTTGTTGAATGCAGCCTTTACACCTGTGTAAACATTTTGCATGCTACCGTACATGTGTAGCTCAATCTAATTTCTTTGTGGTGAAGTTGCCAATTGCACTCTTTCTTGATACTGAAAGCCTGAGAAGGAATTTAATACCACTTAAAAAAGCATGCATGTAACGATGGCTCATGTGGGGGATATGAGAATTTAGCTCATATTTTTAAAAAAATGAATCCCCCTCTCCTATTGGACTGGGGACCAACTAAAAATAAAGCAACCAGGCAGGTAAACAACTGTACTTCAATGTTACAAGTATTCCTGGTTGACAGTGCATTCAACAAATGAATATGACATGTACATGTACAGTACTTGATCCATAAAGCAGATTTTGGAATTTAACGAGTCGAACTGCAATTAGCAGTGCACTGTACACATACATGTACATGCAACACTGTCAGCTATTTATCCCCCCCCAATATTTTTCAGCCATGCAGTTTCCACCCATCCCCCTGATTTGCTGTTGAGAAACAATCATTTGAGGTGCTACAGAATTTCTGTTTCCACATCTTATCTACAATGTACATCTATGTCTAGTACATTGTACACGTCTGCACACTGAGGCACATCCTCCTGGTCTAAGAAGCATTAGAAACCTCAAATGTCAGCGGATGTGCAGCAGGAAGATTGTGTTACACAGTACTTAAGTTTGTAAAAGGTTATTTAAATACAGAGCAGACTGTGACACTCACACAAGTGGTACTGTACCAGGACACTGATCCCTACTATGCATGAGCAGTACATGTACACAAACTGCAGATATCGTCAGTGTTTTCAGTGACAAAAATCCCAAATCATGCAAAGGAGACATTCCAAGATTTCCCTTTTGAAAATACTCCTGAATTCATGACACATTTCCGCTTACTAGTATGAATTCAGGAATGCTGCAAACAGTTATGATATGTAAGGGTATTAAAATGCTAATCTACACTCAGCTGCACCAATATTTAAGTTAAACATTACTGGTCTTTCATTAAAAATAATTTTTTCCTTTCTTGAAAAACGCAAAACCAGGAGGCCTACATTATTTTTCCTATCATATTGTAAACACTTCATGAAAACATACATAGATGAAAGAACTTGTTGGATTGTTACATTTCAATTCAAGACTTGTGTTCATTTTTATGTTTAACATACATACACTCACATCCGATTCAGACAGAAAACTGTATTGTCTCTATTTTGCCCTGCTAACAAGGTGACTTTTTGTCACTTTGAGAAAATAGAGAAACACAGACACAAAGCTTTTTGTGAAACGTTTGTTTACTTGGAAAGTAAAAACCATTGTGCTTTGAAATTAAGCCGAATTGTTCTTTGCATGAAATGCACTTACATGTATGGCAGGAAAAATTAGATGTAAACTGTACACGTAGGAACAGGTTACAAAAAATAGCTTGCTATTTTTGTTCAAGAATATGAAATTCGAAAAGCATTGAAAAATGTGCGATACTGCATGTGAAAAATCATATTTAACTGATTTCTGATGAAGTGGATTCAACGAAGATATGCTCTGAAGTCTGAACTTTATCTCAGTGGTAACGGTAGCACAAAATATGCAGTACATGTACATGTTCAATGTTTGACTTTAAGTCTGTCTGATTTATGTCTCATTTGGGTAAACTGGACATTGTATAAGATTAAATTCTGGGTTTTTTTCTTTTTATTGTTTAAGATCAAATACAGAACTGCATACAGTGAAGAGTGTATTGTTGAAAAGAAACACATTCTATTTACTGCACTAGTAGCACATGTACACGTATAACCTTCACAGTTCACTTACACATGTTTGTACACATACATCTCTTAAAGAATTTGATAGCATTTATCAGATTGTCTTACCCTAACCCTCCTCAATCCTGCAATATCCTCTGGGTGGTTTTGGAGCCATACATGTAGGTTTTTAGAGGATTGAGGAAGAATCGCAAAAAAGTGCAGCTGTTTGATGCATTGTGTCATGGCTGTGCATGTAGGTTAGATCTTGTGTTGTTTATGCTCACCATGTGTAAATTCATGCCTACCATACATGTACTGTACATACCTACATGTACATGAACTGGGGGTAATACAGCTCCTGGATACCTGTTACATTGACTCAACTTACGTACATTGTACATGTACATGTGCATGTAATGACAGGAATTACCAGAGAATTTTGAAGGATTGAGGCAGTGGGCACCCCTCAAAGGAGCATACTAGTACATGACTATTCAAAAAAAGTCAATAGGAGGATTTTGGAAGATTGAGGAAGATTGCAATTTGGATAATAGGAGGATTTTGAAGGATTTAGGATGGTACCCAGTGAAAAGGCCCGGGGTTAGGGTTAATGATACAACACATGGCATAATACCAAGGTCGTAATTTTGTGACAAGGATCACAATATGAGCCATGAACTTGAGATACTGGTGCATGAAATCATGACATTTCTCTTGCATAGCAGTACATTGTACATTATACATGTATAGACAGTACAGTACATGTGCATAAAAAGAATTTCATGAGTACACACACGTATATACAATATGTGTGATGGCAAAAATAATTTCATGATGTGAAAGATGGAATGTTCCACTCCCTAAGGCCCAAAGTTCACCTGTCTTTATTCTTGTTTGAATGGAACATTCGAAACGTCACTTCATGAAATGAATCTTTCCCTACGTGAATACGGAACACTATTTTTATACAACGACTGGATAATAAAAAACCTGACAAAACTCCCTGAATAAAATTCTGAATAAATCCATAATGCATAAGGACAGAGAGTACAGTGGACCATTCCATTTAGATGCGGTTGTACTATGCAATTCATGACACATTGTAAACAATCCATCAATCAGATGACAGGGCTTTATTTAGGTGTCATATAATTTTGAACATTTATTGTTCTTAAGCCTAAATACACGTGTACTGTACATGTCTATATTTTATGTCACAAAACAGACTTCCGTATCGACAAATCCTACACAACAAAGCTTTCTCTTTCCTTGATTAATATGCCTCATGAAATATATCTGCACAGCCCTTTGGAAAGGAACATCACAAACATTATCAGGGCTCCGACAAGACACAACAAGCTGATATCAAGGAACAGCCATGCTGAAATGTGCTGAATTTCTTTGCACACAAGAAGAGAAAAATGTCTCCAATTTTACCTCTGTGGTCGGTCTGCCTGCGGACAAGGACCGGGTGGTGTTGCGAGCCTCTGCATGCGAATCCATTAGGCTTGTTCTTTCTGACAGAGAGTCGCTGTCTGAGCAAAGATTAGCCATAAGCCGTTGTCACACCATGCAGGAAACGTGCAAAGGGTGCGCTTAGGAGGCCACTGTCTAGTTCCTCGTGTTTCTGATGCTGCTGCTGGATGCACTGATGACACGATTACCTGTCTACAGCTTATGGTACACACACAAGTAGTACTGCAATGTAGAAAATATTCGAAAGAGGATATTGTTAATTACAGGTTTGATGCAGAGTGCACATTCACCCATTGCTCCATGAATAGCATACCTGCAGATGCCAAATAAAATGCGAACTACGGAATAGTTTCAGTTACACTATACATGATTGCATGAATTGTAGTGACTTGAGCACCAGTCCTTGTGGATACTTTCATGCTATACGCTTTACCATTACACTTATTTGAAAATTCCATTATGCAAATGTACATGAACACGTAACAAACATGTAAAACTCCCATGCATGCCAACAGCCCATCATCCTCCTGGTCAGCAGGAGGCCATTTGGTTGGTCTTGTTTCTTGTCTCTAATTACATGTAGTCAGTGGTGGTATAAGGACCTATGTCATGAATGTACTGGTAGCTATTGAATCCTCTGGACTCAAAGGGGAATGAACAGTATTCTGGAAAAAGGGGGGACAAATCTAAACTATTGTCATAACACACATCCACACACCTTTTCATTTAACAATGACTGGAAAGAATTTCACACTGTTTATCACACTTACAGTAACACCCTGAGTACAAACTCGACGAGATTGGTATGAAAAATTCTGAGCATTTTATGAGTGAATGTGCCTCAAATACACTCGTACATATATTTTCATGGTTAAATTTGACTTCTTTTAGGGCATTTTATTGCTATCAGATGCCTACATGTAATAGATGACAAGGCAAAATTAGTGGCATCCTTTAATGGATTTTTTTTACATTTCACTGTTTTATACAGTAAAATATCACATCATACCCCAAAAAACTGTCACAAATTTACCAGCTGAATGGACATGATGCTGACAGAAGGCTTCCCCTTTGCCCGATACAGTACATTGGACGACCTCTGATAACAAGAATGTTGTAGATCTTTGTAAAAAATCATACCAACGCCTAGGGAAATGGCCTAGGGCTTAATGCTGTTGAAGGTTAACGAGCTGGCATGGCTAGCTACAATGTAAGCTCTATCAAGTATCATTGTCATGAGTGTCATTCAGTACCTCTAGACCTGTAAGGTTTTTACAAACCTCAGAGAACCTTACGGTTCTGGAAGTAACCTCTTATTTGAAAACCTTGAAACTCATTAGATTAAAAATTGGTACTATTACCTTCACAATACATCATGGTGTTGAACCTTTGTGAACAATTTCAGTGTCATGAAATTTCGTTTGAAATCCAAAACTGTTAGCGTCCGGATATTGGGCTCAAATTCAGCTGAGTGTTCCCTAAGGCTAATGTGGCGCGCTTGACAAAAATCTAAACAAAACCCACATAAACATTTGCAAAAATCCTTTGAAGTTGATAAATTCTTGTAAAGCATCATTACTTCCACTCAAATACCCATCCACAAATTTGTCAGAAAATTCTTTTCCTTCTTTGGGCACATTTTGAAAGTGTTCATTTCAAACGTCCGAAAAAACAATTGGAAAATTGGGCAAAAATGAAATTTCATCTGCACTTTGTAGCATGTACGTAAACTCTAGATTTACGAATCAGAGTATTAGGAGTTTACACTGTAACTAAGTTTCGCTAATTGTGAAATTTCAGCTTAAAATATTGCTCTGTTAGGACACAAGAAGTGAAAAATAAAAGTGCCCCACGTTGGTTAGGGACTGTGCCACATTAAGGTACATGTACATGTACATTAACAATACTAAGCACTCAGCAGAAACAGAATCACGGTCAACAGGGTCAAGTATCCACTTTGTAGCCTACATGTGCAGAGTAACTGCTGTGACAATGTTGACCCTAAGGCACGTCTACAACCACACGTACATGTACATGATGCATGAAAATTGAGAGCATGATGATCATGACTCAACATCGACGACCTGAGGTAGGGCATTCTATTAGGGACATGCAAAAATGAGTGACGGCACTGTTTTTTCTTAAATAGGAAATTTTGATTAAAATTTGTCTTTTTCTGCATGCTGTAGCTCCTCCATTTAATTTCAAATTTTAAAAGTTTTGAAATTTCAAGTGAAGCCAGCATTTAATTAATTGAAATAAGACACAAATACGAGCAAAAGGTTTATGGAAATGTGAAGTTTAAGCTTTTCAATCAATTCAACACTCATTTTCGTTGGCCTAGGCCTATATAAAAAAAAATCCCAGTTGGGTCTCATGCTTACCACTTACCGGTATCTAGCCCAGGTTGGATGTAATCTTCATTTCATTACGACTGACCGTAATGTAGTACGGTCAGGGAGTCCACCTGGGCTAACCACTCATCACGGTCATACTGATTACGCCGTGGCTGTTGTTACGGCAGCCGTAACGCATCTCCCATTTTCTATCGTTACGGCACTGCAACTGCGCAAGCGCGTACGGCACTGCAACTGCGCAAGCGCGTACGGCACTGCAACTGCGCAAGCGCGTCAACTTAACCACAGATTTCGGACGCCATTTCCCTTAAAAAAAAATCCTCCAAAGCCTCCTACGAGAAAAGAAAAAAGAATCCTGCCTATATCAACATAAAAAAACAATTATGGTATAAAACATGAAATTTAGGCAAAAAAACCCAAAATGGTCGAAGTACGGATTCAAACTCACACACCAAACCTTCCAACTTGACCACTCGGCCACAAGTGTTCGGGGATCCAGGTAATTTTAAAAATATAAACCGTCGTGATGATTAGCTACGTCATCGCACTTGCGCAGTTCAGTGCCATAACGATAGAAAATGAGAAATGCATTACGACTGCCGTAACGAAAGCCACTTCGTACTAATTACCGTAAACACAGCGTCAACACGCAATGGACTGTCAACACAGTGTCAACACCCTGAAAACATGTTAAAAATCAAAAGAAGCGGTACTCGACCGTAACATATTTGCCGAAGGGATATTTTGCCTAAACTTCAATAGGTTAGACTCAGGAAAATTGCCATTTTAACTTGGCAAAATCGCCTCCTTCGAACGGCTCAGAAATCAGCCGCCATGTTGCCTCTGGGGCAACTGGGACCATATCATTACGCTCGAGGGTTGGTGATATTATATGATAAAGATACAACGCTTTTTCCTTTAAAGTTACTATATTTGTATTTTTTCTTAACATTGAATAATTGTCCTTTTTCGTATTATGACAATAACTGTGTTAAATAAAATCTATGATGTTGTTTCTGCTACATTGATTTTTACTCTCTTAAAAACTATTTCATTTATAGTGCAGCATATCCATACCTTTAACGGTACAGACCAAACTCCACGAGGAGGCAAGATGGCAGCGAACAGCTACACTGCTAGACATTTTTTTTCGTGTGAAAAAATCCATTTTGCAAATTGATTTGTGCCCTCCAAATACTGGAAAGTCTCTTTAAGCCCAAGTATTACACTTCTATGCTTCTTTTGTGGATTAAAGTTGTATTTTCGGGAAGTTGACATTACTTTCGTTTGTTGACGGTAATTAGTAATAGCATGGAGGTAGAATGGTAATAGTAAGACCCACTCATTATGCTCAGCCTTATCACTGCTTATGTATGTACATGTACAAAACATATCTCAAAGTATCCCTGCTTTAAAAAAGTATTTCTTTGCTTTGCAGAGTCTGATGGAATCCACACTTAGGCCTATACCAAAATATTTTTAATGACATCCTCTCCAAGATCACTTCAAAAAGAAAACAGAAAAAAATTGAACAATTTCATTTGTGAGCTACATTTGTGAGCTACATTATACATAGTAGTACGCTATGCCCAGGCTGAGGCTCACCACACACGTCGGTTCTCAGACTCAACACTGACATGACTGACGACTACAACAGACGGGCCCTAAATGACGAAAATAATGTCCATTCTACTTTACATCAGTTTTTTACCTTTGCAAAACCACTTACCAAATTCTTCCAACGGAAATTATTAAACTAGTAACAACGTATATGTAGTGCGTGCCAACTTCATACGTAGGATTATAATGTAAGGTAGGGCCTACATGCAATTTGATGCATCTGTACGGGAAAAGGGGAAGTACTGTACGTTCACTCAACGTTAAATGGGATCGATCAAGTGCGACGGCGAGGCGCACACTAGGCTGCCTTCAACTGCTCTCTTCTGGGAATGAGGTTTAGAAAAATGATTTCCTGCTTAGCTAGACTGGCTGCTTGTCTTTGACCTTAAAGAGCATTTTAATACACGTATGTGTTCATGTACAGTACATGTACTGTACTGTACACTTTTTGTACACAGCAGTGTATTGCATACTTCTGTGCAGAGTTGTATGCATCTCTGCCACGCACTAATCATGATTACAGTGTCAGACCCCTTCCCTCCGGCTTTTAAATTTCCAAGGGCCGATAAAGTCACCAACCCCTAAATCCTCCACCCCCAGTTAATTCTCGACACAAATTTACTCCACTGCTCAAAACATTCCTCATCTGCTCATCTGAGCAACATTTTGGCAGGGCGAATCAGGTTGACGCCGAGACACGGATTAGGGGGCCCGGTATACTGAGTTGTGTGGAATCTATAGACATTTTGGTATAAGTTCACAAGCGATTGAGTCCTTACCCAAATTGAGTCGATAATACAAAATACCTTTGCCACCAGAGCGCAAATCAGCACTTCCTTGTAACTAGTATGTAAAATCCCGAATAATGCCTCGTTTACTTCAGCTTAGTAGGCCTCCCCAGCCAATTTCACCAAAGGCCAATAGGCCCATTTAAATTCGTTTTAATGAAAGATTGATCCTTCACACGAGCTTTCAAAATAAAAAGTATTTAGCATTCTTTCGGGAAATAAATTCCTTTCTAAATTTCAAAAGTGGTTTCGTTGATTCACATTCGTTTAGAAAGGTTGATTAGGCATTCAATTTTGTCAACACGCAATCTTATTTCAGTTGTTGGAATTCAAATTCGTTCCAGCGAGAAGCACTTTCTGAATCGTAGGGCCTATATAAAATCTAATTGTCTAAGAAAAAAAGTAAAAAAAAGTTTAACAGTGGATCTTTAGACGTCTTTCCGTCGACGTGACTATGTAAAAAAATTGTGGCGGACGTCACGGTTATTACAGAAAAAAATTCAAAAGTGGGTTTGTCACGGTTCATTCATATCAGCCTGCATTCGAGTTAGTAAAACTGTTTTTCTTTTTTTTTCATATTTTAAATTTAACTCCGAATTTGTTTCCTTGAACTTTTAGTAACATTTATATGTAGCCTACATTATATTGTAACGCGAATGTCTGGTGACCTTTTAAACTCTAGAGGAATGGCAGTGGGGTTGACCGGTGATGCGCTTAATTAGGTTTCGGGTTAGGTCCGGGAGTTTGGAAACCGGGGGCCGTCAAGTGTGTCAAGGCAGGGGATATGGAACAAAGGGGGTATTGGTGTAACTGTCGGGGGATTTGACAACGTGTTTTCAGTGAGTGAATTGTGTTGTGGAAAGTGGGAAACTGAACTAATAAGACTGCCATGATGGAAAAAGGGGGGAGAGTTTGACAATATCCGGAGTATGATAAAAATTAGTAAATGGAAGAAAGGTTGAATGGGTATTGTGGACCATTGTTTTGCATCTTTGTGCTGAGATGGTGTTTTCAAGACTGTGGAAAACAGGGGAGGAATTAAATAATGTCAGAAAGGGGAAAATTAGTCAGTCTAAGCCGAGCTGCTGAGGAGCTCAGATTGGATCGACTGACACAACTTTGGCACCGGGATTTAGTTAATGTGTGGACGATTGTGACCGAACTGGTAGTTCATCTTGGATTGTGCATAAGGATTGGGTACTGACGGGACATTGGTAATTAATTCATGTGAGTACATGAACCGGTACTGTGTACCTTTACTTAATTTTGTGACAGTCCATCTCGGCAGGGCAAGGGGGTGTGCGATGGGTCCTCATGACCCGTCCTTGCCGTTTGTAAATGTTTAACATTAGTTTGTTAGGGTACCTCACGCATTGAGGAAGTGAGTGGAAGTGAATAAACCTGCTTGAAGTAGACGGTATCACACACTTTGCCGAGCGTGCCATTTCGTTCAGAGTCCCTTGTCCTTGGTGTAACGGGCGGTATATTTCGACCCAAAAGATTCCGCCCCTGGCCAAATCACGCGCGAGCGGCGCCGCCGCGACCGGGCTGGATGAGTGGCCTGGCGAGCCAAGGGTTCGCGGACTGCGGAGGGGAAACCGCCACAATATGTTGAAATGGTTCCAATAATCAGATATGAAACATACTGAACAGCATCAGTACACACAACAAAGAGCAAAACAAAAACTTTCTAATTTGACTCAAGATATAGGCGTAGGCCTATTTTTACAAAAAAATTAAAAGACACAAAGGAATTATTCACATTCATGAAAACAATTATTATGGACCACGAATATCATGCAGGATGAGTTACTATAAAACATCCACGGTATTAACTTCTCCATACACTCCTAAATAATATTGAACATTCCAAATAGGTTTACTTTAAACGGAAAAGAAAATCGCTTTCAGGTAAAACTTCCTTATGTCTGGCAATATTTAGGGTCTTTCCATAAAATCCCGTTATGACAATGCTCATAGGTGTTCCATTATTGAACCCCTTTCTAGTATCAGTGTCCATTATGTACAAGTACATTGTTGGGCTATAACCGCTGATTATTGGCGCACGCCGTTTGCTGCTTTGTGATTTTTCCCTTATGGCCCATGAAATGTACGTCTGAGCCCGCCGCTCCTGCATTAATCATGTCAATGGAAAAGATTTTTGATCTGGTGAACCAATATGCAGATCTTTTCATAACTAGCATTGCTTCCCTCATGTATTCTTAACTCTCAAGAATTCTAATACATGTAATAAATTAAAAATTATTCTGTAATAGCGTTTATTGATGACTCCGTCTGTGATTGACTGGGATTATATAACGATTTCGTGCAATAAAACATAAAAAAATTTGTATGATGATTTCATGTTACAAGTCCAACAATTCTATGACAAAACGATGCTAGATGTCAAATACAGATACATGATGAAGTAAATCTCCCGGAGATCTGATGGTGTACCTCTTCGAGACGTAAAATTCGCAGAAACGTTTTGTACAGAAACTTCCTGGAAAGCATCACTCTGAATAATTAATCTTTACATGTACTTCATAATTATAAATGATGCAAAAACATTAACGATGTAAAAGGTAACATCAAGTGTACTGAAAGTGATATTCAGATACGCATAGTTTACACCCCTGTTGCACTTATCGGGACTTTATAAAAATCATGAACACATTGAGAAAACTCGGATGCATAACAGTTATACATGAATACAATGTGAAGGCAAAATACCAGCTCAACTTTTTGTAACAAGTGTTCCAGTTAAGGGCCTACTCTTTCAGTCTCACCTGCGCAGAAGAGTACGTGTATGTCTCCACAAAAGCTGTCCTTAGTCTCGTGGCTTCGCCGACTTCGGTTACTCAAACAACTCAACAAGGTCATCAGCAAATCATCTTCTGGCTAACATTTTCAGTTTAAGAGGCCTTTGATGGAGTATTCACCGATGGCCTGAAATGGTTCGGGCATTTTTGATAACGAGGGTATAGGTTGTTAACATGAAATTACCATTACTGAGTGGCCCTATGACATTAGACCCATTAAGCTATTATAGGACTCTGTTTTGGCAATCTTGATAACAGCTTTATACAAATGACCGATCAGTAATGCGAACGGGTGGACACTGTTTGGTACCGGTGATGAGTTGTGACGGGACACCACGAGGGGGAAGCTGAAGTGGTTCTGCGCTTTGCCAGGAGTTGTGTTTTGAGGGTTTTTTAGCTGGCGAAGAACTTAAAAAGACTCCTGCCTTGGGGCAGACCAACAAAAAAATCATCAGGTTACAGCTAAAGATACGCGGAAAAATAGGTGTGTACATGTACACGCGTGGTACTATCTATTGTTTCATAAGGGCGCCCTCATCAGGTTGAATCTTGTGACACTGGGGTACCGGGTACGGGTACGCCGCGGTGACGTACGTACGTATGTGTGGTGACAGATTTGAACTCACGCTGGTCCAGTATCAATGATTTTCTTCAACACCGTGAGAGAGAAATGGCAACAGATAATGTGGAGTTTTATGAACGCATGCAGAAACTGCAAGCAGTTCAACAACAGAGGTTTGTTACTCATCAAAAGGAGAATATTTATAACATATGCAGACCAAAATAATGGCTTGTGAAGTTGTGAGGCACTGTCCAAGTAACGTTAGCTTAGGCCTATGTAAGATTTGAAGCTTTGCATGGTGGAAATGTTATGCCTTGTATGAAAAATGGGTTTGCGGGTACACCATAGAGTCAACCGCACCCTGGTCTGCAAAGCGAGATCTGCGACCAGAACAACCTACGCCAAGAACTCCACCACATCAAGTCCACCCTTAAGATGAACGGCTACCGCAACCAACCTATCAACCGTTCCAAGCCCTCCCCAAGCCCCAGGACGTTAGGGTCCCCTTTACCCGCAGCCCCCCAAACCCCCACCGCCACAGTATGCCTACTATTCTTAGGCCCCACCTCCCACCAACTCCGGAGTATCCTGTAGTCGGCCAACATCAAAGTAGGCTGACATCATTCAGCACCCAACAAGCTGCAGGCTGCTCTTCACACCCACAAGGACAAGCACCTACCCAACAGTCGCCCCGGTGTATATCGCATTCCATGTGAATGCGGCCAAGTATACATTGGGGAAACCGGAAGGAACCTCCCCAGCATATACTGGGGGGTCCCCAAATATACAATCCCAATTAATTTGAATAATATTTGCAGTGGAGATGGTGGAGAACTTCACTTTATACATTAATTTTGTAAAGTTGGGCCTGCACAATTAGGCCAGGTAGCCAGAAGGCCTGGTGTAAAGTTCACATGAATGTTAAATGGTGACATCAGTCAGCTCAAACATGTCAGATCAACGCTCATACAGTGTAGGGCCTAGTGCAAATTTGGGTTTGTCATCCACTTGGCTTTGTTCCAGCATCGTGATCAAGCTGTAGGCCTAAATGTTGTAAACTTGTACATTCCAAATTTTGGTCTCTTCTCAGAGAAAAGCAGAGACTGAGCCTTGAGCAAGAGTTCAATTCATACCTCAAGTCAGACCGGAGATTGTAAGTAATCCAATGCATCCTCCTCTTCAGCAACTGTGATATACTTGACACTTATACATGTACATAGATGCGTCCAAAATATGGGACCAGCTAGCACTGATGAGGCGCATACACAGACATGTCTGTACCGTAGGCCTATACAAAGGTACATTACATGTTACTATCAAGTTCTGTAGCTGTGACTGTCTTAAGTCATTGTGTTTGCTGGGGGTCCATTTGAGGAGCTCACTAGATTGACTGGGTTAAAGAAAGAGAGGCTAGTCACTACTGTCAGGCTTATCAAATGCCCAAAACACCATCTTGCATCACATAAATGTGGGGCAATGTCCAAGGTCACTCGTCCGTGGGCATTGAGGATAGAGCTATCTTTCACGATGACAAAGCCAAGCTATGGCCGGCTCTATTATGCAAGACAACATTGGCACATTCTGTTTACATTTTCTTCATCCTTTGCAAGTGGAATCAAGCCCCATGAAGATTGAATGAGCTCTTAATATTCCTCATTGCACCAAAAACCTCTAAATCCTTTTGGACTTGATGGATCTGGGAGGGGTTGGTGTCATCGTGTTCATAGCATGGCACTGGATGTTAGAATGAAATCAAGTTAACTGCTCTGAATCTGTCAACTCCTTCAAATTACAGGAACAATGTGCGTGCCAGCAAGCTGCAGAGTTACTGGGCCAAGGTCTGCGAGGATGAACGCCGCAGCCGTGCTCGCAATGAGCAGCTGCTACGGGAGTACGAGCGTGTGGAAGCGCACGTGGCTGCCCTATCCGCTAGGACTGACAGGCTGAGATTAATCAAGGTAGATCATTCTGTGCAGGTCTTCAAAACTTCAAGTGTTGTTGATGTGACTTTGGGAGATTAAGCACCAAATTGGTCATTCATGAAAGTAATTTGAGGAGGGACTGATGTTTGTCACTGAAGGATCAGTACGAGAAGCAGATTGAGATGATGTATCCTCGATGGCAAGAGCAGGTGGAACTCAAGCGACGGCAACAACTGCTGCAACAGCAGCACGACCAACAGCAGCTGGCACAGCGACTGCAGGAGCTGCACCAGCGGCAATCCCAACAAGGGCAGCCACAACAGCATCAAGCTCAAGCACAGCGGCAGAGCGCGCAACACTATCCAGCCCAGCAGCAGCTGTCAGCACAGCAGCAACAGCTGCATGTGCAATCTGAACCCCAACAGCAGGTTCCACTTGCCGAGCAGCAGCAGTTGTGGCATTCACAGAGTCAGCACCCTTCCTCACAGGTTAAAAAAAAAACAATTAGCATTATTAAACTTGCTAATAAACTTTATAGCTGTGACAGTGTGGATTTTCAACCCCCAAAATATCGGTACACTAAGTAAATTGTCACTGCACAGGAACAGAGAACTTACTAGGGTCTAATGCAGTTACTACATCGAAAAAGCTTCCCAGTAATGAAGCAAAATGAACTGAAAACCAAATCACAAGCAAAAAATGATGATAAGGAAGGCATCCAAACACATGTGGGTGCATTTGAACCTTTCTTTTTTTACAGTACCGTATATGAAGAAAGTCTGGTTGATTGGAACTGAAAGACTTCATGTAAAAAGCAAACAATCTGTAGAAATATTGAATGATGAGCTTTGAAACTTTTCATGGTGAAGGAACAAGTACATGTAGGTATGGAGGTTTGCGGTAGCACCGTGAAAGGATATCTCTTTCTGAGCAGGTGTGGCGGTAGCACCATGCAAGGATATCTCTTTCTGAGCAGGTGTGGCGGTAGCACCATGCAAGGATATCTCTTTCTGAGTATTTGTGGTCTCAGAACCACACCTACTCACCTACTCAGATAGAGATATCCTTGCATGGTGCTACCACAAACCTCTATACTTATATTGAATGATATAACCATATGATGTGTCGTAGTTGAGTCTAGCAGAAGTCCCTGCAAGTCTATCGCAAGGCCTCCAGTCTCAAGCCAGGTCACAAGCATTCATTACTTTTGACACTGTTGACTGGGCTGGAAGAAAGACTTTTGACTGGCCTTGTGAAGGAACTTGGGGAAGGACTAGTCTTGTGATGGCCTCTACTGCAACACTGGCTATGTGCTAGTTCTCAAATTGTTGAGGCAGAAGGTGGCCGAAGTTTACACTGAAATGATACATCTCCTTTTCTCAGCTCATCCAGCGAGTGGACCTAAATGATTACCATCACCTCAGGCGGACAAGCCCACTGCTAGCCAACCTCCACACCCAGGTAAACATGCCACCGGGCAGGACACCAGAAGACCCTTGCTATGCAAGCATCCAGTTTGGCACTCAGCCGCTTGGGCTGGCAGATAAGGTCCCCTCGCTGGGGCACGTCCAGCCAGCAAGCCCTCAAATAGTCGGCAGTTCTGACAGCTATGAAGTGCCAAGCGCATTTAGTGACAGTCACCTCAAAATGCAAAATGGATTGCCAGGTTATGGCCAGGAACAGGCCAGTGGTGTGACAGCAGGACAAGTTGGCATTGTGGGGATGGGTTCTGGTTTGCAAGCACCACCGGTGAGCAGCGATGGCGGATACATGAAGCTCCATGGACAAACTGGAGGTCTTGAGGCCAGCCCTTCAGCTGTACAGCCAAGGAGCTCGTCTGTGTATGCAGAAGTCCAGGATGGAAGAATCTCTGGATCGACCCTGCAGGTTCGAGCAACCCCCAAGCTTCAACCTCACAGTGTCACAGATGCTGCCGAGGCCCAAGGCACTAAAGCTGCATCTGCAGTGGTACCAAGAGGAAAGATGAGATTGGAGCCCACAGCAGCGGTTCAAGGCGGTGCTGACCCACGGGGCAGGCCAACACCACAAGAGTCACCAGAGGATGACAATGACAGCATTGTCACTCCGCTAGATGATGACGACTCTTATTTGGAGCCGTCTGCTGCCAGGCAGACTGGTGGAAAGACGCAACCGACATCCAGGGAAGGGCTGAAACTGGCAGAGCGCGCAAGCTCCGCCGTGAGTGCCAAGGCGGCATCGACAGCCCGGACTGATCCTTTCACCTCTGAAGAAGACGGTGAAGACGACGAAGACAGCACAGAGAAGGAGGCCTTGCGAGATGTCCTGCAGCGACAGCTCAATCTGCAGGAGGATGCTGAAGGGGATAAAAGATCGACACAGGTTGCCACAGCTGCTGGTGTAGCACAGAGCAGGAGAAAGCTACAGCAGGAAGGTATCGAGCAGCAAGGGGAGTTGACGGGAAAACCAAATGGTAAGAAATCCTTGCATGTAACAGTTATAGTTACAAGGAGCAACCTGTTTGTGTTTATGAGCTTACACGTATATATCTTGAATGAGTAATTGGAAACATTACTTTCTCATAGAGTATTATGAATTCTCCCAAGGAACTGTGATTTGTTTGTTGAAACCACTAATTCTGGGAGTTTCGGTTATTTTTGTATGATGCTTTTTCATATAGATAAAAGTCCGTCCCTGGTTCTACACAAACTATTGATTTTGACAATGACTTGATGCCTTGAGACGTGCTCAGCAGTGTCTGAAGATTTGTGCATAATATACACAATCATATTGGAATAACAAACTGAAACTTGAAATTGCTTCAGAGCATACGGTACACCTTAACTTATCTTGGGAAATACCATTTCTGTGGCGCATCACACTCATGTGGGTGTCATTCACAAATTTTAATTGAAACATACATGTGACATGTTGTTGTCACCTTTGGTCAAAGAGGCATTTATTACATGTATTTAATCTGGGTACAAGGACGGACCTACCACAGTTAGGGCATGAATGGCTTCTAATGCTTGTCGCAGTATTGGTTTTGAATCAATATGTGTCACCTTTGGTCACCTGTGGTCACCTAGAGTGGATTGCTAACTGGATGAAATACCTACATTTCTCACAGTCATTCCTACATTGACAGTTTGGCTCCTCTGTCCCTTTCAGGTGCTGAACAACCAAAACAGCTCCAGGAAACGGGTGTGCAAGATGAGCAAGACGACAAGGAATACTCTGGGACTGACAGCGAGATTGGGAGCGACGTGAGCTTACCCCTGAGCGACACTGCTGAGGGACCTGGCCCAGGCAGGAGTGAGAAACCCTCAGGCAAGGCGCCAACTGCAAGCATGGCAGCTCAAGATAGCAGGTCAGTGTTATGTTCCAAAAGAAGACTACGTGAAAATGCCCTACTTGATGAAATAATTGCAATCTGTTTTGTTCTCAGTTGCTCGCCCTACTCAGAGAGAATTTCTTACTGAAATCGTCTGTCAACATTGTTTCCAGTAAGACTCATGAAGAGTTGTTGAGTAATAGTTGGAAAATGGTGGCTGTCAAGATCCTCCAATTTGTGTGTAAAAAATTCGACTAGGGATTGAAAAGTTTTTGAACTTCTCAGAGCATTTTCCGTGAGCAGTGAAAATCAAATGTTAGCCATGTAAGCAGAGAAATGAGCAGTATGGGTTTCTTTTTAGGTGAAACGGTTACTAATCACAGCCAAACAATGTTGCATGCTTTAGGTTGTAAAAACTGGGTCATAAACAAAGGCAGTCAGGTCTAATTATCCTAACTAACACTTTTCATCACAGTTCTTTATTTGTTTATCTGTCAGAGATTGTACTTGCTCAGGAATGTTGTTAGTTTTCTCATTGATGCTGCTTTCAGATGGTTAGCCTTCATTTTTTGTGACTTCTGCACTAACATTGCTCATCTAATTTCACTCAGTGTTCTATTTCTTCAGTTGTGGCAAAAATGTAAGCCCTGACAAGGTTTCTTACATTTGTTTGAACAACATTTCTTCTCAGGTTACAACCCAAGGTTACCACGGTAACGATGACACAGCATGGCTTCTGGCGTCTGGTATCGGCCGTGGAACATGAAATTGAAGATTCAGACAACATTGAGAAGATCTACAACTACCCAGAATGTACCAAGGCTATCAAAATGGAGATTGTCAAGTGAGGCGTTCTCTGTCTTTATTTGTGTTGGCTGACGGTTTGCCAGGTTAATTTGAAAATATTACATCAGCATTTACCTATGCTGGTACTTGTCAGACCCACCCCCTTACAGGTTTGAGTTTTTGTAGTCTACAGTTGGTCTCAAGCCAAAGTGACAAAGGACAGAACTAACGTCCTATCAAGATTTTACATTACTTTCCTTTTATTTTGGACTCAAAGAAAGGCTTGAGGTAGAGGCGTGTCAAATGGCATGAATTAATTGATTGTTACAGAACCACTCTTAGTTTGACATGACACAGGGTCCAGCAGGTTGCTCTCTGCTAGTGCCAGTGTTCAGTCTCTTCAAGATCTTGCAGTTGATTCGGCCAAGAATTTCTCATCAACAGTGTGAAACATAGGCACTGGTGGTAGCACTTCACATAAGGGTGGGCTGGAACATTTGAATGATTCAGTTGTGAATTTGATGGTCATAAGCCAGTGCTGATTTTGAGCCTTACTTACTGTAAAGGTTCCTTTAGTATACATCTAAAAAGAAGTAAGTGGTCTGAAGTGCAATGAACTTCAATACACCAGTCTGTTGTATAACAGGACAGCCGATGGTAACGGTAACCTGGATCGTCTAGATCCCAACGCCATCAGCATGGTGGTCCTGGACCAGGTGGAGCAGATCGTGCTCTCCATGGCCGGAGGATGCCTGCTGTCTGATAAACTCCTGGACACCAAGCGGACCATTACTGAGGCTACCATCCGGTATGAATGTGGGGGTGCGGGGCGGGGCGGGGCGGGGGGG